GTGTAGAGCTGAGGAAATTATACTCTCTTACATAAGCGGAAGTTTGTCATTCTAGTATCTTATGTCTTCTTCCCCTGGTAGCTGCAGGTGATCAGTTAATTAAATTATGACCTCGAGCAAAACTCATGCTCCCTGCCAGAGAAAGCCATGCAGAGAAGATGTGGGTGGATACAGTTTTTAAAATTCTGTTTTTTCATGATCCCAAGAAAGCTATTATTATGAGTTGGATATCATTATTTCATGATAATGAGAAAATCATGCTGGTTTTCTGAAGATCACATGATAAATGAGTATAAAAGGAAACTTGCCACTGGAGACACATAAAAGAGAGATTTGAAAGCACTCATACGGAGAACACACTCGACAGCTAAATACCTACTGCACACACACTCTGATCAAAAGGAGAGACAGAAAGTGTGCACACATACGTCTTTAGAATATGGAAATTAAAAATCTTCAGATTGTCAATACAAACACAGACCTGGTGTCATCTACCGCTTACTGCAGCCTGTAACACAGAGGCTGAAAGAAAGGAAAAATGTAAAAAAAAAAAGTAATAAGAAAAAATAATATTTGGGGAACTCAAAAAAGCAGCAGATAATTTCCACATGATTATTAATAATTTATTTAACCTTTATTTAACCTAGCAAGAGCACTAGAGACCTGGATAAGATGGCTGTATAGAAAAAAAAACGGTCAAGAATGGAGTGATTTATGATTTACGAGAAAATTGTTTGTTCAAATAATTTCATTATCAATTAAGCTATTGTTTAATTAATACTTTGATGTGCAATTAGTAATTCCATCCATAATTTAGTTTGGTCATTAATCATTTAATACTGAAAAATGCAAATCTCAATCTACCAGAACTCAGAATGATGTCTTCAGATTGCCTTTTTGTCTAACTAACAGTCAACCCCATAAAATATTATATTTAAAGTGGCATGAACTGAAAAAATAAAAACAGTGATAGTTAATTGAATGGATGGATTGATATAATAGTCAGCAACTGAATTTTCTGATCAAATATTCGATGAATGAGTATTTATTTCAGCAGTAAACAGCTTGAAAAAAACCCCACACATAATAAATAATGACTTATATGGGTTTTCCCTCTGTGCCCACAGGTTTGGTGTGATTTTGCTGTGTTCATGAGTCATATTTGCTCTCAGCAGTGTGATTTGAAACTCCAGTGGAAACCTTGTTTATGGCTTTACACCAGTGATGAAAATTGTAGCTTCTGGTCGGGAATGTTATTGGTACTCGTCAATATTTCCCATCATTTCCCACTGTTTGGACGTGTGTCGTATGGGGCATCCACAGTCAGCATCCTGTAGCATTAAGCAAGTCTCCCAGAGATTTAGTTGAAGCACCCAAGTCTCCAGATTCATTTATATTCAGGGCAAAGAATCGCTGTATTTGAGTGACAGGTGTGTTTTCTTGTTAGAGAGGAGCCTCAGATATTTTATTTCCACTGCTAAAAATGTAACCAGGGCGGTGCAGCTCATGCCTGCAGTAAGCCGTGCTTCATCCTGTGCCTCTGATCCTCAACGTGTGTGCCTATGTGTGTTCATGCATGTGTGTGTGTGCCTGTATATTTGTGTGTCTGTGGGCTGTGTGTTTAAGAGAGAGAGAAGGGAAGTGTGAGAGAGTGAGTGCCAATCTCCCCCATGATGCTTTGCCATCTGTCATTTTTTTTTTTCGTGTGTGTGTGTTTGTATGTGTGTGTCTCTGTGCTTTTGTGTGCGCATGGCCCTGTGGGTGTGCATGCATTTGTGAGTCTCGTTTGCCTGCAGGGTCCAGGGTCATAGGAAACATGAAGTAATATCAGCCTCAACCCCTCCTTGCATCTGACTAATACACAGTTCCTACCCCAAACTTTTCCACTCCAAGCTGGCACACAAAGCCATGCATTATTCAAGACAGGGTTATTTTTGTTCTGAAAAAATCCTAAGTGTCAGAATCGCTGGTAAAAATGTGAATGAGGACAAATGACAGTGCATGCAATCTAACCATTCAACCCTAAAAAAAGTTTTTCCTCCCATTCTTTTCCCCTAAAATATAACAAAAAAAGAAAGCTGAACCAAATCCTCCAAGCTTCACAACTCACATGAAATGCTTGCTCACAGCACTGGATCAAAATTAAAGCTAAAAGAAATAAATGGGAAAAAAAAAGGAAATAGGAACACTTCCTATCAGGTGCGCTATCTCACAGCTAGCATGGTGCTGCAGGAAACATATCTGGTTTTCCTATGAGCGCTCCTAGCTGGTTGTCATGGAGACAGGCCTTGTGAGACCATCTCAACCCACTTGTCGCAAAAGGCATCATGGGTAAAAGTGGGGGAGGGTGAGTGGAGGTAAGGATGGGGGGGGGGGGGTTGCAGGGTGGGGACGAGGTGAGAAAAACAAAACATGTCAACTTCTGAGGGGCCCCAGCGGAGCGGGTGCAGGTTGGATGCCACCTAAACAATGTTATTTCATCAGCCTGATGGAGCACAATAACCGGTGTACATTTCACCACCTGAGCTGGGGTGTCATTATCTGCTTCCCTGCAATAAATAGCACATGTATCCCCATCAATCTATCTGTCTGGCTGACCATCTGTGTTGTCACGCTGAAAAGGTAATAAGACCATCCCCTGCTGTCTTCTCTCTGGATGCTGAGCCAGATGATTAGGAAGAGCAGGTTGTGATATCTGTGAGGGGGCTGCAGAGACTGTAGGTAAGCCTGAGTCATGAGAATATTCGTGCTCGCAATGGTCACACCTTTTAATTTTGCTTCTCACCAACAAGCATGGCTGAGTCTACATGTGAGGAGAGGAAGAGTGTTGTATGCCATTATCGCACAAGCACAAACATGCCCAGACTGGCATGGTGTGCTTCTGCGTCTGTGTATCTGTTTTGGCTCGCTCCCTCAACATCCACAGCTGTAGGATGCTCTAAGCCCTTTTGTTTGAATTGTGTCAATGGACCAGCAACAGCTGGAGCAGCCGGTGCAGGGCAGCTGGGGAGAGGAGGAGGATTTGGATACAAGCAGGGTTTAGAGTGTGTATAGAAGGGGAAGGAGATGAATGATTGGGTGCCACAGAGGAGATGGCATCAAGAGAGGAAAGGTTAACAGGGTAGTCGAGGAGGAAAGTCGAGAGGAGACGGGAGGAAGGAGATGAAAGGAGATGGGAGAAGAGGAGATTTCATGGAATACGGAGACTAATGCAGGAGTGAGATGAGGGTAAAATTAAGGATTAGGTGGAGGGTGAGGGACTATAGTGGAGGTAGAGCAGAGAGGGCTCTGTCCGCAGGTGAAAACAACAGGTAGGGCTGGATGAACTGAGAATGATAGATGGGGTTAGACTGAGGTCACAGACAGATATAAAGGCCTCAGTAAATCCAGCTCACAGGACAAAGGAAGCAGACACTGCAACATACGAGGAGTACCTAATGTTTCAGTGGCCGTGTGGCTCCACGCAGAGCAGTAGCTCTAGTTAGATTAACGGTGGCAAATTGAGTTTCCGTAAGAGGAGAATTTACTTAACATGCTGCCAATGGTGCTTGAATGAGCTCTGATCTGATTTTTCTTATCACATTGTTCAATTGAAAAGGGGACGCTGAAAGCTTTTCTATTCAATGTCTATTCAACGTCTATTAACGCAGCGTTAGATAAGACGAGGGCAGAGCGGCGAGAAAAAGAGCCTGGATCAGATAGACAGCCATGTTTTCAGATGAGCTATTTTTAGTGTAGGGACTGGCAGACAGTAATGTGTTTGAGCAGGTCATTAGCTCAATAAGTGGTTGGAGGAGTCTTTGAATATGTAACTCACCAGAAATGCCTCTTTCATTTAGTAAAGGCGAGTAAGGGTTGGCCTAATCTCTGCTACTCCATTTCTGCCAGTGTATCAGACATGTCAGGGTGAAAGTGCGCTCATGGGTGTTTGCGCATATTTATGTGCCGATCCCAATGTGGCCTGTCACCTGTGAATACATACCGTGTCTCCCTGAGAACATATATGTTATCCCGTAATGGCGCTTGAAGGGAGACGCGTATGTGTGTGATATATGACAGGTTAACAAAGGCTCCTTTCTCATTTGGCCTCCCCACCTGCGTTCTGACACATCGGGCAGAGGGGTGGGGGTCGGGAGAGCTCGATAGGACTGAGGAGTTATTGACTCTCAGACAGGGAGCTTCTGCACAGCTTGTCTAAATCTCTGTAAGCAGACAGAGCTGAATTATGTTCAGACTTAAAGATGTGCGCGACTGCATGTGTTTACGTGAGGAAAGAGCAAAAATACTCATGGAGATCCCCCACCTCACCCCCCCACCCCAAGGCGAGGGATTAACTAGAGGGGGAATGTCTATTAAAGCAGCAGTTTCTGATACATTTGCTGTTATTGAATTTTGCTGCATTCTTACTGACCCCTCAATCCTCTTTGTTTTAGTGTTTTTCATTACTGTGGCACACTCCAAATGTATTATTGCATTAACACTTTTATGTGCCACCAGAGCAGTAAAATACTGAACGCTAAGAAGGAATTAGGCCAGAGCTAAAATGAAATTATTGGGATGTCTGAGGAAAAAAAAAAAAAAACCCTTAAAAATGTATCATTGCAGCTCATTTCACGGCTCACTAGAAAAGGAGACTTATTAATACAGAAGCAGTACGCTGGAAACTATTTCGGTCTGTTTCTTGTCTTAGTTGTTGAACAGTGGCTCTATTGTTCTGGTATTAGTTCAGTCAGAGCTGGCCTGCTTGCGCTGTTAATCCCAAATCAGAAGTGCTCTTGCTAAATCAAAAGACCTAATCCTGCATTAGCATGAATTTTTCTTTAATTTTTTTTCATGAGGTTTTCTCTGCGTCTGTATGAATTATTGTATGTTTTCCATCTCTTCCCTTATGGTGCATTGACATTTCACTCTGAAAGCAGAGCAATGAATCAGAGGTGGAGGAAATATGCCTGTCGTTTGTAACCGCTGACCTTCATGTTTTTTTTCCTATGTCTCTGCAGAGTGCCTATCCCTGTTGAGTGAAGCCCTTCCCGTATCTCTGTCGTCTCCAACCGGCCCACGGTGGTGCCTGCCATGCCTCTGCCCAGGACAGGTGGGGCTCTAGCCCAGTCCAGGAGGCCTATCCTGGGGCTCAGCCTTAGCCCCTCTCCCTTGTGTATGCTGCTACCGTTGATTATCCTGCTAACCAGCCCTTTGAGCAGCCTGTGTGGAGCATTAGGTATGACTATCAATCAATCAATCAATTTGTCTGTCTGTCTGTCTGTCTGTCTATCTGTCTGTCTGTCTGTCTGTCTAGCTATCTAGCTAACTAGCTAACTACACACACAAAAGGCAAGCCAGCTAGCTGCTAGCTAGTGGTGAAAACTTATTTTGTACATTCTGTGCAGTCACGATATATTCTTCAATATATTTGTGCACATAAGGCAAAGTATCTGTCCATCTACCAGCTAGGTATCCATTTGTTTCTCTCTCTTTTTCTCTCGTTCTCAGTTGGATGACAGCTGGTTTATTGTCAGCAGTTAATGTGATGTACAAAGGTGTGAATATATGTCAGTGTGTGTGTGTGTGTGTGTGTGTGTGTGTGTGTGTGTGTGTGTGTGTGTGTGTGCCAGAGGAGTGAACCCAGGCTCATCACTACATCAGCTTTGGACTGTGGCATTGTTAATGTGTTTTGATAAGCCGGGAGGTCCCATCAGCATGTTTCTCATCATCTCCTTGATAACAACATTTCCACAGATTTCCTGCCTCAGTGGTCCACACACATGCACGCAGACACCCACACACACACATGCTCAGACACACTCAGCTGTCACTTCTGAATATATTTTTGAAAGCTGATACAAGCTAAAGATGGAGATAGCACTTCTCACTGTTAGGAATGGGAATTGTCTAATGTATTTTTCATTTTCCATTTATATAACCAATTTGAGGCCACAGGCTTTTGAGAAGACTGACGTCATGTTTGAAGCATTTTTATATTCAGTAAAGAGGTAGAATTACACAACAACTTTCTGTTGAAATGTTGTGGGATTGACGATCTCTGCCTCTGGACCACCTACAGTGTTTTTCTGCAGAACAGATAGTACTTCCCTTCCTGTGTCTCTCTAGCTTCTTCAGAAAAGAAAAACAGATTAAAAAAAAAAAAAAAACATCAAACTGAGTTGTTGCCATCTCTTCCATTAACAGTATGTTTTGCAAAACTTGTAAACTAGAGTGGGGAATTGTAGAAGAAAGTTTTCAGATCAAATCCAAAAACTACTAATTGGCAGCAGGGAACTTTGTGCTTTGCTCAAGAATCCAATGAAATGTGATGCTTTGAATCCAAATTTTCCTTCACTCAAGATGAATACATTATGGTAATATTTGCCCGAATAGTAGTTGTGCCATTTTTATTTTATTTTTTTATTTTTATTTTATTTTTTGCAAATCTTCACCATATTCTTCACTGCTTCTCCTGTAAAGCTGAAAGAGCTTCATGATTTTTGTACACAGAAAATGGGAACACCCTGGGTTGCAGGTGTGTACAGACAACTCTGTCTGGCTGTTGTATAGAAATGAAGATGACTGCAAAGTCACACAGAGACAGAATTCCTAATTACCCAAAGGTATCACAGCATTATTTGTGAATACTTATCTGCACATCAGAGGGGTACCATCAGGCCTAACAGGAAAGATAAGTTATTCTTAAAAACCGCTACATATTTGACTCAGTTGACTCAGTGTCCAGATTTCACATTCTTGTTTGAGATGGGCCCACAAATCATCTTTACAATACCATTTTTCTTTTTCTGCAACTACACAGCGCACCCCGACTGTCTCATTATCTTTGTAAAACAGATTTCTTTTTGTTGCACACATTTGGCTGTGAGACGTAAACAGATTTGACAGCAAAGACACACAAACAGGAAGAGATGCATTATTAAAAGTGGCTTAAAGGCTTGTCAGACCACAGCTGGTTACACTTAATACCTTTGCCCTAAGTAAAGTCTTTTAAGGCAGAATGTAATGCAGCTGTTTCTCCAGCAGTTACACTAATTTCCCTAAAATTAACAAATTAAACTCGCATTTCTTCAGTCTGACCTGAAATAAACTTCAAACTTCAGAATTACTAACTTCACTATTATACTCTACCTGCTGGTCTCTGTTTTATCTGGGCACAGCAGTTGTCAGTCAGTTATTCAGAGGATTACAGGTTACAAAGGTGTTTCATTAAAAACAGACCAGTGGTGGATCAGTGGTAGAGCTCCTTGGTCCAGTGCAGTGGAGTGAAACCTACTATTAAAGAGACAGAGCTCCTCATTAGTCCCTCATTTTCCAGCAGCTTTCTAGAGCCTTCCAGTCATAACAAGTTTCTGTTCAGTGCAAATCCAGAGTCCAGAGTCAGTGCCTTGCAGGGCTTTTCCGTGGCTTTCGGAAGAGGCTTAAGTGGTAACAGTGCCAGTGGGGTCAGTTTTGCACGAGGATTGGTGCTGAAGCGCATTTAAGAGACCACAGAAAACATTTTAGACTCAACATAAAGCCACTGAAACCCATGTTCAAGCCCTAAGAAGCACATGAAATTCATTCATAATCCCATAGCCAGGAGAAGACAGCTTTCTGCCGTGACATTTTTTTTTTTTTTTTTTTTTGGATTTTTGATAGTTCACATTCTTATATCGTCGCTGGGGGGAAAGGGCTATTTGCTCAATAGTCTATATGCCTTTCTAAGAGTCCAGCTGGCAGGAAATATGCTGCTCTCGAGGCCTAAAATGGTGGGCATAAATTTGTTCTGATTGACTATACTGTACCAGCTTTTTGCTTCCTGAGGATTATGACAAGCATAAAATGAAACTACTTTATTTCTGACATTCAGAGGGGGTCTTTAAGAGGCACGCCACAGTACAGCAGGCACAGGAGCAGTCTTTTGGCATGGTGTTATTCCAGTTACTGTTATGGCATGGTAGTGAAACTGGAGAGTGATCGGTGTGTTAGCTAGTGAAGTGAGCGGGGATGGGAAGATGTGTAAACAGCATCTGCTAGTGATAGGTTTTTTAGTTTTTTGGTTTCGGTGGGGTTTTTTTTGTGTCTGTTCTGTCTTCAGAGCAGAAGTGAATCAACACAGCAGGACCTCACTCACCCAGACATAGGGTAAGTGGGAGGAGGGATTCAGGTTGCCATGGTAAGGGTCATCCTGACTTCACCCTGACGGATAGCAGTGATTCTGTAGCTGAGGAGGAGTTAAGCTCGGCACCATGGCAACAGGCCACAGACAGATAGCAAGGGTGGGTGCATGAAGTTGTTTGATTGATCTGACTCAGCCACTGTGAAAAATATAGGTTCAGTACTGTTGGCTCAATATTGGACTTGGAAATTGCTATTTTCTTACAGGGGCCAACTGCTACACTTATACATCCTGCGTCAGATGCATCATAACACCCTGAACTGTTCTGCTCACATTTTTCCCTGAGGCAATGATGGAAATTAACACAATGTTGGTATAATAATCTTAAATAAAAAAATCCTCCATGCGGTAGTGTGCTGGGGCAGCACAGTGAAAGGCAGCTGATGCCAACAGACTTAACAAGCTCATTAAGAAGGCTAGTGTGTCCTGGGAGTCAAACCAAAGACTCCGATGGATGTGTCTGAGAGGAGGATGCTGCAGAAACCTCTCAGCATCACGGACAACCCCTCTCACCCCTTGCATGCCTTCCTAGAAAAACATCAGAGCACACGCAGCAGGAGACTCATTGTCCCTCGGTGCAGGACTGAACATGCAGGAGATCCTTTCTGCTGGAGCCAATCAGACTCTATGACTCCTCCCTGTACAGGGAGATCACCTACAAATAACACATAACATTATGTCGTGTGACATTCAAAGGGCTTGAACCAAATGCGTGCAATGAGTAATTCACTATCCACATTAACTGCAATATCTGTAAAGGGTGCGGTATCTTCACTCCATCTATTTTGCTTCTGTTCTCAGTACAGTGTTCATCATTTCATCATTTAAATATTAATTCAATTGACTGACAACTAAATTGTTCTATTTTGCACATCCATGTTTATAGCTGCACTGTGTAAATATTTTTGTGTTGTTTTCTGTCTTGTCTTATTGTTGTCTTCTTACATTCGTTGCATTCAATGCAAAGATCGCCAGAATCTGCAAGTGCAGATCCCCTATAGGTGTTAGAATGTGCAGGCAGAAAATGACACCTCTGATATTAATACATTTAAACCAATTATATGCTGTGAATTTTCAGCCAACACTTCTCCTACCTGTGAAACACTCATGTGTCATGACAGTCTGCGCTGCGTGCAGTAGCTACGAGGGTAGTCTGCCCTGGAGGAATCGGAGAGAGTGAGAGAGACAGACATAGGGAGAGGGAGAGAGATGTTCCTCTGAAGCCCAACCCCATCTTTTATTTATGACCCACAGGAAGTCCTTCAGCATGTCCTCTAGATGATACCCAGGAAGTAAGCACAACAAGCAGCCATCAGAACACAAGTCAGCCTGACCAGTCGCTGACAGTAAAATGGGGCGTGGTCAGCAGGGGGTTGCTGCTGGTTATGGAGTCTGTTTGATGTCCTCTGGGTGTAAGAGTATCAGTTTTCATGCTTGTGTTTTGATTTTTCTTTTTTTTTTCTTTTTCCTCCAACCCCCATCACCCACCCCCCACCCGCACCCCCCCACCCCACCCCCTTCCCTCCCTCGCTCTGTCCTCAGCATCCACAAAGTTCACCAAGATTCCCACAGACCAGATCGGAGTGTCAGGGGGCGTGGCATCATTTGTGTGCCAGGCCACTGGAAATCCCAAGCCTGCCGTCTACTGGAACAAGAAGGGCAAGAAGGTCAACTCCCAGCGTATCGAGGTGGTTGTCACAGTGCTCAATGGTCAACTCCTACTGTAGCAGCATGACAAATACAGATATGTGTATCTAGTAATACAGATATTTCAATATATAAATCTGTGTGATAGTAATTAATCTCGCTAAAGTTAATATTATTTTTAATATAAATAGTAAAAATTCTGTTCTTTATCCTAGATATGCTACAACCTTGTTTCTTAAATGACGAATTAAACATTTGAATTTTGCAAAATATGTGTGGAAATTAGCTGAGAAAATTGATACTACTCTCATTCCAACACCTCTAAAGATCACTAATTAACACCACGCATTAGATAAATGAATGAAGTATCACTTGTTAATAATTGAGCTTTAAAAATGCTTTGAGGATTTTTTTAAAACACTGGACTAGAGCTAATTCTATTTAAAGACTTGAAAGGTATCAGTCTTTCCAGCTCTGGGTAAAAATGCAAATAAATTTTATGTCCCACAAATTTCTTGAAGATATTGATTTGACAACAGCACACATTTCAGACATAGATTGTATAATGTCTAAAATGTTATTATGCAAGATGAAAGAATTTCACAATGTTTCTCAAAACTGACACATAAAAAGTATTATTGCATTGCACTTGACTTTCTATTGAATGCACATATCACTGTCCAAAAGCTAAATGCTATCAAGCAGGCAAGAGTTGTTAATTCCTACAGCTCAGTAGAAGCCTGACTGTATATTGATGCAGTAATGTGACCTAATGCTTAGAGATACTGCATTTCAACCAGAGGACCCAGATCCATCCCCCAATGCTGGTAAGTTTCTACCCTGCTGAAGTGTCTTTGTGAAAGACACTGACTCCCTGCCAGCTCCAGGATCGTGTGTACAGGTACATGTTCTGTGTCTGTGCCTGACCTCGAACATTTCTGTAGAGGAGATCAAGTGAAACAGGCATTTTCTTAAAGAGGTCGATAAAGTGTTTCCCCGTAATTGTTGTTATATAATTGCAGTAAAAGTGACATGCAGCATTATAGTTTACTGTTGTAGTAGTGATCCATGTGTTAACCGTGCTGTGACTGATATGTACTTTCCTGTGGTTCTGTGGCTCTCCAGACCATAGAGTTTGATGAGGGTGCAGGTGCTGTGCTGAGGATCCAGCCACTCAGAGCACCCCGAGATGAGAACATCTACGAGTGTGTGGCACGCAACAGTGAAGGAGAGGTGTCTGTCACTGCAAAGCTGGCCATTATCAGAGGTGAGGCACAAAATCACACATGCATACACACCCCATCTCTACCATTTTCCACTTGAGCGGTGCTTGCTTTTCACGTGCACACTCACCTGGCTTCAGACGTCGTCCCCGGTTTCCCGGGCTGTCAGTTGTAGATGTGACAATAGAGCCACGCCACACCCTGCCGCCACAGCAGGCTGCAGCGAACTGTTCTTTTTATAGTCCCTCTGAGTGCAACAGAGCGTGATCTGGCCACAGAGAGGGCTAGCTAGCGTGCTAGCTAACGGGTATTTCAGCAACTCAGCTTGCTGTAATCACTGCGCCTCCTGGCCAGAGTGAGGGTGTTAATCTAATGTACACTGTCTCCATGGAGGGAAACGTATCTAATGTGGTGCTCCAACATGCTATCAACTAAAGTTGCAGTGTGTGGCTGCAAGCTTGGGATCTGAGCACTGGCCATTTGCCCAGCACAGCAGGAAAGGATGAAGAAATAGAGGGCTGGCTGTTTGGGCTGTTACAACATGAAGAAAAATCAGGGGATTAGGCCTGGGTTTGGCACACAACCCTTTTCTGCTAGGGGAAAGTGAGGAGGAGAAGGAGAGAGGGAGGAAAAGGTCGAGGAGAGGTGAGAAGGAGTATGATGGACGGTGAGGAGGCGGGGGTAAGTTGAGTAACACAACAGGATGGCGTAAAACAATAGAGATGAAATGGGATGTCGGAGGAGTGGCGGAGGGGGTGTAGAAGTGCAGGAGATGGATGAGGATTGTGGAGTTGGCAGGGCTGTGTGGTAAGCAGAAGGCTGGTAGCCCAGGGAATAGACTCCTGTCCATCTGTTACCCCGCCCATCATCTCTGCACACACAGCCCCAATCTAAAGCACATTACCACATAAACTGCACCTCGAGGGCGAGCCTCTCAGTGTGTGCGGCTGTGTGTGTCTGTTCCTGTTTGTGTAAACTTTTCTCCTACTGAGATCTGTGTACCGTGACGCCCCCGTCCCCTCAGTGACAATAGAATCAGCTGTGTTTGATTCCTTCCTAATCAGCTGATGTAGTCTCTGCAGTAAACAGATTATTGGGCTGTCATGAATGACAGCAATACCTGACCCAAAGAATCAGCCACTTTCAGAGCATTGCTGGCTGTAATAGTTTAATGTGTCAGACATAAGGATAGATAAGGATGCACAGGCAGGCTGCAGACAGATAGCAGCAGAGACAATGCATCTTGAAGTTTTTTCCCTCTGATGTGTACTGTTTGCATTGTATGAATTTGCAACCATCAGATTTTGCCATACGGTGTTAGCTGTTCCTTTAATATCTCTGGGTATTGCATATGATTTTTACATAATTTTAATAGAATACCTTTCATGCTTACATGCCTCTTTTTGACAGTATTCTCCTTGGATTCTACTGTAGGCTTAGTGATACATCGTGTCATCCAAGAATGCTGTTCTCGGATGCACAAAACTCTGCACAAATTGTGTTTGGTCAGTCTTTTCAAAATACCGATCATCAGAGAAAAGGTCCACCAACCTCTGAAGCAGAAAGGAGGCTTTCCATTACTGACCAAACCCCTCCACTGAAAAAGTCTTTTCATCCCCTGATGTGTTCCATCTCATCATTTTGTATAATGGTTGACCGACGCTAATAGCAGTGTTGTACAGTGCGAGGGGCTTGTGGTTGGCCACAGGATATGGGCTGCTGCTCTATAGGCCGCCTAATGGATGGAGTTGTGGCAGGTTATGGTCAGGGAGATCTTTCTTTTTTTTTTTTTTTCTTTTTCTTTTTTTTTGTGCCTTCACCATCACCCTCCCTATCCCATTACCTACTTCCTCTTCTCCTCACTATATCTTTCTGTCTTTGACTCTGGCAGCCTCCTCTTTGGCCCACAGCGATGTCCGTTTCTAATTTCTTCTCTCTTGTTTTATTCATTCTTTCATTTTCTCAGCCATCTATTCTCCCTGACCCTCGCTGTCTATCCGGACTCTCTCTCTTCTCCTCCTTTTGCATTTTTACAGGCTCTCGGCTGCTCCACCCCACCTCCAAACCTACCCCATCCCATTTCCACCCAAACTGCTCTTTTCTATGGACACTGCAGTTGTGTTGTTCCGCCTTCAGGAGACGTGAATATCTGCAGTTCTGCATGTTTGAAAACCTCTGGTGGGCGAGAGATTCTCATCACTGCAGTAGTGTGTGTGTGTGTGTGTGTGTGTGTGTGTGCGCGCGCGTGTGCGTGTCTGCACAACCTTCATGACTGTGTATGTGTGTGAATGCATGCACGTGGATTTCTTCGTTTAAGGGTGTGTGGTTGTGTTAGTGCATATCTTTATGTGTATGTGGCTGGTTTGTGCAGAGTAATCCTGATTATACTCACCTCCCAGTGTCCCATTTTAGGAGAAAGGGAGACGAGGGATGGGGGAGGAAGAGAGTGAGAGAGAGAAAGGGGAGGAGAGATGTTCTGCCACCATGGCAAACACTCTTCATATGAACAACAGAGTCAGATCAGTGATTCCCCCCAGGCGTCTGCTGCATTGGCAGACCGGCCAATATCAACTCAGCCTGCAAGAGGATTACACTCCTTGAGTGGAGAACCGGCTCTTTCATCACATATACCCCCTCATCCTCTCTGTTTTTATTCCATCCTTCCTTTTTTTTCTTTTCCTTACAGTTCATTCTTCATGCATGTTTTAATGTAATAGAGTGTTTTATGTGGGATTATCATGTTTTGTGTGTTTGGGCCCCAGCTGCTGGATCTGTGAGGAGAGGCAAAATCGGGCTTAGGATGGTGGGGACTCGATGGTGGGATTGATCTATGATGCAAAGTCTGATTGTGCATTGTATTGTGATCTATTATCATAAAGGTCCATTAGCATTTAAAGTGCTCCCCCTCAGCCCTCCTGCAGTCTATAGGAGTCAAAGCATTACAGCCTCTGAAGACTGCTGAGCGCTGGCAGATTAATCCTGAATCAGGCTCCCCGAGATCACCTTTTATTCAGGCGTCTCTCATGCACATGGGCCATTCCCCACTGAAATGAACTGAAAGATGAATAGGCAACCTGTTTCTTAACCAGGACAAATGACGATTTTCCGTATGGAGGGGAGTGTTTGAGTGCATGTGAGTGCATCTGTGTTTGAGTAACTGCGCTTGTGAGAGGGAAATACAAAGAAGGACTGGGAGAGAAACCCTGGATTCATGTTTGTTTGTTTGCATCATATGCATTATGTGTTTGACTCTGTGTGTGTGCCTTTCTGTATGTGTGTGTGTGTGTGTGTGTGTGTGTGTGTGTGTGTGTGTGTGTGTGTATGTGTGTACGCGGACGCATGAATTGTATATTTGCCCAGATCTGGTTGGCTCCACTGACTGGTTTTGGGCACCAGGCCTGATTGCCCTTCTGCAAACATAACCAGGCCAAAATGTACGCGCTCAACCTCTTGATACACACAAATACGCACAAACACAAAGCTCCGGGGAACAATGCTGCTTGGTCTTTGCCAATGTTCCCTCAAACGCTGTTGACACACACAGTGTTTGTATACACATGGCACATTTTTCCATAGGCTGTCTTATCAATTTAACCAGGAGATGAAAAATAAGCGGTACTCTTGCACAGCAGTGTGTGTTTTTGATAAATGATTCATTTGGTGAAAAGTGTGATCAAGGCCATGCCCACAGTATCTATTTCAAGCAGCCGCTGACTCATCCTCAGGCCTGGCTGAATACCTGTAGCCCTATATTCTCCTCTCCAGTGAACTGTACTTCACTCTCCAGTGCCACTATCTGTCCGCAGGTTAATGTGCATCTGCAGGACAGAGTATCTATCTATCTATCTATCTATCTATCTATCTATCTATCTATCTATCTATCTATCTATCTATCTATCTATCTATCTATCCTTGTTTCTCCTACCTCTCCCTAATGATTCAGTTCAAGGTCCACCTACACTCTATATTTGCAGCATTGATAAAGACCTGACTGGAATGCAGAGCCAGACCCCCTACACATACACACACATACACACACAGACACACACACACCTATACACACAGACACACACACACAGGCATGCACACGCCCCGAGCCCGCTGCAGTGCCGTGCTGTAATTAACAGCCAGGGAGTCCGTGTAGCGGTAGCCAGCGGTGTGATAAAAAGACCATCTGAACCCTCTCAGGAGAGGGGTGGGGTTAGGGGAGGGCAGAGGGGAGCAGATGTAGGCCTAGCATATTCCTCACCCGGGGGAGCTCGCCTCCTGACCTGCCTATCGATCCCCCCCCCCCCTTCTTTTCTCTTCCTCCGTGTTTCATCAATGGCCGTACCACTGGCTTCCATTCAAGTGGCTCATTAGCGCTGATCGTTTGGGAATGGTGTGAGGGAGGAGGCGGGGGTGGGTGGGGGAGGGGTCAAGGTGGTCCCCCTCCCTTAACTCAGGTCTCAATCGGATGATGTCAGAGGGATGGTATGAGGCCTGATCGCCACCTGAGCTCTAACTGTGGCACTGAGACTAAACATCGTCCCCAGACGCTCTTCTGAGCTTTGATTACTCTCTTTCCCTTCGTGGCATCTCTCCTCTCCGTCCTCCTCTTAGGAGCAGCTTGACATTCCTATCTGACGGGGTCTCTCAGAAAGGTGATGACTGTGGAAAGAGAGAAAGGGAGCAATAGATCCTATCTCCACTCAGCCTCTCATCCCCATCGCAGAGCGTGTGGAAACAGATGGTGCACGTCTGTCATGTGGTTAGGTAGCAGGGGGGCTTGGAGGAGGAGAGGAGCAGAGGAAAAACACACAGACAGTTGACGTGGCCGCGGTCTGCTTCTCGGACTGTGTTTGGCTTCAGATTTGTCAGTGATGCCGAGCTCAAGCTAGCAAACTTTCAGCGGGTCCTGTTTTGCTTGACAATCAAGATGCTCCTGTGGGTTTGATTTATTAGCCAAGCAAATTGCCATCTTGGTAATTGCTTTGCTGCTGTTGGAAAGTGGAATATGTAATTATAGGCCCAGGTATGGGGGAGGTGTCTGTGTGTATGTAGAGAGAGATAGAGTGGTTAAAAGGGTAAGGAGAGCAGGAAGCAGGAGGGCTGATGGATGCTTGATTACGTGTCTGGCCATCTGGACTGTTGTCACCGAGATGCTTAATCCCATTCACCAGAGAAAGTGCATGTGAATGTGTTTGTGTGTGTTTTTCCTGGATATGTGTGAACGTGTGTCCGTACATTGTTCCACACATTGCACAAAATCTATGAACATGCTAATAAGAACATAGCTATAGAGACAAGTACGTACACGCACGGGCAACACACGCACACTCATCCACTGCCCCCCCCACACCCCCCCCCCCCCCCAACATAATCAGACATATCCAGACACATGCAGACACATCCCAGATCGGCCTCTCTAATCGTTGGTACATTTTAACAATTACTGCTAACAAGTCCTTATTACCCCCAGTGCCCTGCCCCTCCTCTTGATCCCAGCTCCTAATTGCTGCTGCTGTTTCTGAGTAGCTCTCTGCATAGTTATTAGACAGGAATCATTACCAGCTCATAACACAGAGCCACACCATGGAAGAAAACTCACAGTTCACTGCCACTGTCACCAAACACCTGTGGTTCCAGGTTAAAAATGTTGTGCGAGCATGTTTGTGTGTGTGTGTGTGTGTGTGTGTGTGTGTGTGTGTGTGTGTGTGTGTGTGTGTGTGTGAATGACCTGGTTTTCTGCATTAGCTGGTCGTAAAATGTGATCTGATTTTCACCTAGTTCACAAGTGTAGACAAACACAGTGTCCCTAAGCTAATATAGGTGCAATTTCTCTGTCTGAAGTCATTAGGTAGGACATTTATTTCAATGTTTAGGGTCATTGTGCTGCTGCATCACTCACTTTCTATTGAGCTTCAGCCCACACCTCCAAACTGGTTTCAATGACTGGACTCCAGGTTTGACAACTCCTCCTTTGTTAATGCCATTAGATGAGGCGTTCACATGCTTCTTTTTCCAATCTACACTGTGATTTTTTTTTTTTTTTTTTGTGTATTCAGTATGGACAAGGACAATACAATGGTTTGTGTTTTATTAAATAAAATAGAGTCTTTGTTCATTATTGTAACTTGGATGAAGATCTGAAGATATTTGAAGACTAATTTATACATAAATGCAGGTGATTTCAAAGGGTTTTCTCTTTCTTTTTCTCACCACTGTAACTCCTGCTGATTGGGCGGTGTGTTTATACTCCCGTAGAAACGGCTTGTCACACACACTAAAAGCTAACTGTGTTACTGCCCGCCTACTAGATCACCTAATGACTACCTAAAGCTGTAGGAAGGACATGCTGCTTTGATGCAGAGGGATGTAGTGGCTCCAATGTCCTCTCCAGTATCTCCACTTCCCAATGCCCTGCAGATGTTAATGGGGGGGGGGGGTCTTACATCACTGTGTGTGTGAGTGAATCTTAGGTTTCATCCCAGAGGAAGGAGAGGAAGGATTCAGTCCTTAGTAGGGCAGACTCTGGCTCTGTGATAGACCAGATGGACAAGATAAACCAGTCATTTGTGTTGAGAGCAACTGTCCCAGAAATAAGGAGTGAACACGTTTGTACATCACTGTCCTCCTGGATTTTCTCCAAAATAAAATATGAGTAATCCCTTTAATTTTCTATATATTTTCTCTTGTCTTTCCAGAGGACCTGTTGCCATTCGGTTTCCCCAGTATAGACATGGGTCCCCAGCTGAAGGTGGTGGAGCGGACGAGGACGGCAACCATGCTGTGCGCTGCCAGCGGCATCCCCGACCCAGAGATCTCCTGGTTCAAAGACTTCCTGCCTGTCGACCCCAGCACCAGCCAGGGTCGCATCAAACAGCTCCGATCAGGTGAGATAGCTGAGGGTCAGATTATTTCCTTTGCCAATAAGTAAGCAAACGGTGCATCTCCAGCTTAACACTGCTATCAGGTAGAATCTCTGTTGCTCTAAATTTGGTGATTATCATGTTTAATTATGATTGAGGGATTACATGCTCCTCTCTGTGTTTATCTACATCCTTTGGGGGTGTAAAACCTTTTTAAAGCCAATTTCATAAATGGATAATTGCACCATCCTTAAGCCAAGAAAAAAAAAAGCTTTTTATTAACATTTGGGAGAAAAGATTAGAAAAAGATGACACTTTAAAGGCACAAATGTATTTCCATTGTTGATCATAAATATTGAAAAACATGGCAGCAAGTAATTAAAAAAGAAAATGCCAAGTCTCGCTTATTAAAAGTGATATGAAAAAGTTTACACACAGTTATGAAGTAAATCCATTTCTAAATAAATACTTAATATAATAATCAATCTACCTCAAAGCAACCATAATTCTCTTTTCTCAGATCTCAAAATCAATAGAAACAGAGAGAGGAGTTTCTTCACATTAGGCATTTAACTGATGCTCCTCTTATCTTCTGACCCGCCCAGCCTGAAATTGTGTGAAATGAGCTCTGTGGCTTAAAATGTGAATGTAAAATCACATTGCTGGAGACAGTAAGAGGTGAAGAGGGAGGGAAGCTTTTGGCTGCTCTGGAGAGGAGGAAAAGTGTGTCTGTGCAAACAGACAGATCGAGGGATGAATACAGAAGAATCACATCTTGCGCTTTAGACAGTTTGTTCAGCTTTGTTTATGCTCTTCTGTATAGATGATACAGTGTCTCCCGGAGTAGCCAGACACGTATTTTCTCAGCCATTCTCACTCAGCCGTCCTCAGGGGGAATGAAAGTGATGGTGAGGCGAAACCATTTTGTTGTTGCTTCATCCATATTCTCTGCGCTCCTCTGTCCTGCCAGCTCTGATATCTCCCTGCTGTCAGCCAATATCTTTCACTGATCACTACTGCCCTCTGTCAACATTGTGTCTCCATCGGCAGAGTTTGCCATTATATGCTGTTTAAACACATTTATATATTTGCACACGGTGAATTTTTAGGATCTTCAAGAGCTGACAGTTCACCGAGGCTCACCCCTTAGTTGCAGTTGTTACGCCTGTCAGGCTTTACCTTCTCGCACAGCGCATGTATGGTTGCCAGAGGTAACAGTGGCAGATTTATCACATGAAAATTTTCGAGGAACAGGTCTCTGATTTCACACGGTGGTAGACAAAAGCAACTTCTCCTTTCTAGCCAGCCACTGATTTTGCCAGCAGAAATGACAACTGCAAGTAGCAGATTTCAACAACTAGCTTGCTAATTAACGCAAACACTGTCTTCAGCCAACTCAAAACCAGAAACAACTGAGAGGGTGTTAAATCTGCAGCTGATGAATTCGTATGATATGTTATGCAAAGCTACAGTATGTGTCCCAGTCAAAAAGGAAAACACAGAAGACATGAAAATAAGAGGTGCTGCATTTGCCTTGCATTGCAAGGTAGCGCTATTTGCCATAGTATTATAGTACAGTATGAAAAGGAAAAGGTAAGTTACGTTGTTCTAACAAAATCCTGTTTGGATGTTGGGTTTACTGTAGAAACATGAGATACTGAAACAGGAGATTATAATGCTGCTTTATTGTTGATAATTTCACATTTACAAGAAAAAAGGAATTTAGAATGGGAGAGTTTTTTTCTAATGTAACCCTGACAAAATAATGTAACATTAGCTAATGTAATGTAGTTTGTAGCTTTGGAAATAACACTGCAATAGCATTACCGTAGGTAGTAAGCTAGTTAGCCAGACATGCTAATATTTGCATCTTAGAAAAATAGTTTTGGAAAGGGGATGAGAAGGACCGAACCTATCAAATTAGGGTCAAAAAGATTTTGAGCTTGTAAAGTGATTTTCACAAGTAATTCCAAAGTGTGTAGTTTCAAATAAGAATTTCTAAATCTATAAAATAAATCTGCATGACAAATTCAAGTCTGTAAAGATTTGTATTTGTAAAAATAAAATAAAATAAAAATTAGAATGTGTGAATTAAATCTGTGAACAAATTATATCAGTGGTGAGGTTAGACAAAGACCCTGTTTACAGAAACAGAGCAGAAAACAGCATGTAAAACTCAGTGACACTGTGTGAAGCTGAAGAAATAAGTACAAATTTTGACTCTGTTTTTACACCTGAATCTGATTGGACAATGACGGTCCACTCAGAGTCCAATCACACTACTACACCTTTCAGGACCTGCAGCCGGGATGAAGGCAACAGAACCATGTGTCCTATGACTGGACTCTGTTTTGTGATTGAATTGCCATTGTCCAATCAGAGTCACCAAACCACCTCTCTCTTTTTAAAAAAAAAAAAAATAAATACAAATAGTTTCTATACATGTACAAACTTAAATTTCAGTGATAGCAAAGCGAAAACTTATTTTTGTAGCCCCAAAATAGGTTTTTCTTGGTCTGCTCTGTAGGGTGTCTCACACACACACACACACACACACACACACACACACACACATGACACTGATTCACCAGTACAGTATGTTTGTCCACATATCACATCAATGAAACAGCAGCAAGACAAATGTTCTCAGTGAGATTCCCTGCAGGGATTAATAGGATTTTGAATCACAAAAAGCATCACAAAGCTGAACAACAAAATGCACACTATAATGAACCAAACACTGCAGTGAAATGACTTGGAGGAAATCAATTACAAGTGAGCTGGGCACAAAATAGCGCGGAGATGTGTTATGGATGAAACACTCCTTTAAGATCTCTTTAATGGGGGCACCTTCCAAGCAGTGCCTCTGATTTAGTGGACGTCTTCCAGCTCTCATTGGCCCGCAGCCAGTGGGCCACAACCACTGTTTTCTCTCTGTCTCTTCTTTTCTTTCTGTGTTGGGTCTTGGAAATATTTTTTATGGCCCATGTGGGTCAGAATGAAAAATGATATTGAGAAAGACTACGCTCAGATCCCACGAAAGATGACTCTTAGCCACTTCATAGCCCATAAGTATCCATCATCTGTAGTGTCTTCCCACTGCAGGTAACTAGCCATCAACAGTCGTGAACTCCATGTGTATACACCTACATAAAACCTGCACACACACGCCATCGGTTTCCTGAGGGTAGAAACATATGGTGCAGTATAAAGTTGAACTTTTCCTGACATCCTTGTACCTCCACCAAGGCATCCATCTATTTTTCCATGCCATCTGCTGCACTAGTTTATATGTGCGTGAGGAGAACTATGACAAGCTATCCGTCTATGTCTGACATTTGGGACTGAGATCTGGAGAGTTTACCTAAGCACTTAACAGCCTCCGTAGACCTACTCTCTAACAGATGGCATGCAATATGGACCCCGGAGGTGGACTACTGAGTAATGGATGGACCTGTCTTGGCAAAGAACTGTGATGTGATCAAAGGTTGTAGTTATGGTAATGCCCACAGTTTAGGTCACTTGTATCTAAAGCAAAACAGGGTAATGATCAAAAGATAAAGACATGGTTTAGTTTCTTTAAACAGGAGGATATGTCAAAAATAGAATTCAGTGAAATTTGGGGGAAATTAGAACACACGGACCAAAAAACAAATGATTAGTTTTTAGTGAAAGGCATTTTTGTTTTTTAAAAAAAGAATAAAATGATAATTAATTTTCGGACGAGTGAATAATAGATTCACACTTTATAATCATGATCTAACTTGCTTAAAAAATCTTGTCTCGTCATGCCTTTAATATTTTTGGCTCCACATTTTAGGAACATGTAGAAATAAATGATTCACTTATAACCAGGGTGAAAATGAAGCTGCTTCATACTTAGACTTTATTTGATCCCTAAAGTCTAATTTTAACTCGGTGACGTTAATGTGCTGTGATGAAAATAGAGACCATTTGTCTCGATTGTTGGTAGTGTTACAAGTTAATGTCTCACCTCGTGGGAGACTGGAGTCCAGGTGATCTGTTTGACCTAGAAGTTCTGGCCCAGCTATCGGGTTAGCGGTATCTGTTGTCATCTGATCGGCTGAGTCTCAGTCCAGCAGACACAATACACCGTCCGCGATTTCACAGTGGTTCAATTTACTGAAGTCACATCTCATTCTGGGGCTGTCAGCAGCCTCCAGACTCACTAACAAACTGCTCTGCTTCTCCCCCTTCTTCTCTGTTATCTTTCACTTTCCCTCCTTACTGCTGTTTGTCCTGCTTTTCCACATTGACTTTCATCATGTTTGCTCATTGCCAATTATCTGTCTACCTTGCGCTTTTATGGATGTGTGTCCTGACCTTTTTATGTGCCTATATACAGAACACCTGTCTTTTTCCATATATGGTAACGCCATGTTTTGCATAAGAGAAGATTTCAATTGCGGACTTCAGATTTGTGCTGATGGTTAGCCATATGAGCTGCTTCCAGCTGTCAGATGAGTTCTTGTTTGCAGAGCTCCACCTGTCCAGCTCCATCTCTCCTCAGCTCCGTCTTTCTCCCACTTCTCCTTCTGCCTCCACCTCCTTCTGAAGGAGAGGCTCGGCTTGTAGAGAAGATAATTTATTCCTGTTTATCTCCCAACTCTGCCCTGTACTGCGGGGAAATGAGAGATGGAAAAATAGAGAGACAGAGGAGGGCACGAGCTGTTTTCCTTTCACGTAACTGCAGAAGACAGAAGCAAATGGATGACAGCTTCAGCTTGCTGGGCCTCCTCAGCTCACTAAACACACTCAAAAACACAAAACACATACTGCGCCCCAGCTCGCTGTAACAAGTCAAACTTTCACTCCTCTGAGTCTCCAAGAACACGGTGTTTAAACTTCTGCATTTACTGATCACATATTGTAGAATTTGGAGAATCACACACACACACACACACACACACACACACACACACACACACACACACACACACACACACACACACACAAACTGCCTGTCCCTGTGGAGTCTTTTAGTGCTTAACTGGTCGTGTTTTAAAGCTTTTACACACAAAAGCCTTCTTTGCCATCAAGATAAGACAACATATGTATGCGTTTGCAGTAGTGGAAAGAAATTTGTGAGTACATTCACTCCAGTATTAGGTTTAATTTTGTGGTACGTCTGCTTTCTTTGAGTGGAGGGCCTGCAACTTGTGATTATTTTTACTTTTGATTCTTCTCCCCATTTTTTGTTGATTAATCAATATGAATGTTTGGTCTTCGAAATAACAGATTTTTTTCTGTTTCATTGGAAACTTTTTGCAAATGCTTCAGGATAAGCTCACTAATGGACCAGCAGTGTTTCACTTGAATTACAAAAACAAACAACCATATTTTCTCACTTATTTCTCGTGCTGTCCTCTACCTCTGGCCTCTGCTGCTCTGTTTCACGTGTTGACGTTTTGACAGATAGATGATCCTAAGATTTCTACTGGCACCTTAATACAGTATACACAGTCCTACCACACACACCGAGCTGAAACTAACATAGTCTAGAATAGCAGTCCTCCAATAAATCATAACATCAAAATGTTCAGATTATAGTAGTTTGTGGTGTTTTTGCCATTTAGCCTACCCTTATTGATATAAATGGTAGACAAAATAATAGCAACACCAGACACAATAACGAAATATAATTCAACCCCACCACAAGCTACATCCTCCAAAATGACCACATCAACACCTCTAAGCAGTTTCAACAAAAACTGCACATTATAACCTTCATGAAGGTGGGATTTATTTATAGTTTTAGCTGGGTGTACCTAATAAACTGGCAACCAAGGGTACATGAATGGAATTTTGTTGCTGTTGCTTACAGCAGTGATAATGTGATAATATTAATGTTTTTGGTGTATTTTGGGTAAAATTACCCTTTAAATTTGGCACCTACATCAACCAGCTAAAACATTAAAATGCTGCTAGGATGTTAATGCATCATTAATAATAATGCAGTTAGATAATATATGCACAATAATTTAACTTTAAAGGGAGCATTCTGCATAATTATGTAACGTACATTTTACCAATATTTTATGTAGTTTTGAATGCTGGACTTTAACTTGTGACCGAGTATTTTTACTTTTTACGTGTGTAAAGATTCTGAACACCATTTCCACCACTGTGTGTATGTGGAAAAATCGGTGTAAGTACAGAGCATAGTATATCTTCTGTTTGTCTACATATCTCCATGAATCTCTTACAAGCCAGATGCCTCTTATCAGTCTCACAGAACATATGTTACAAAACATGGTACTTTATAACAGACTTAAACTAGGTGTGTGTGTGTGTGTGTGCGCGTGTATGTGCACGTGTGTGTGTGTGTGTGTGTGTGTGTGTGCGCGTGTATGTGCACGTGTGTGTGTGTGTGTGTGTGTGTGTGTGCGCGTGTATGTGCACGTGTGTGTGTGTGTGTCTGTCCTCCTCAAAACGTTTTGTCTTGTGTGTGTTTTGAGTTTTGTCTTTTTCCTCTCTGTGCAGTACAGCAGAGTGTAATCCATGGTTTTGTGCTTCTTCCTCAGGCTCCATGTCAAAGTCAGTTTCAGAAGAGATGAATGTGACAGAGCAGGCTGAAAGAGCAAAAAAAAAACCCTACTGCTGGTAATTCAAAAGGCTGTTAGCAAAAAAAAAAAAAAAGAAAGAAAAGAAAAAAAAAAGCAGTAAGAATAGCACCCTGTGAAACAAAGAAAACAAAAGAATACCTGACGAGCGCCGTGTGTAATTATAGCACGTTTAGGGAGACACTGTTTATCACGGTGAGATCAGGGTAGGAAGATAAAAAACTGAGGAAGTAAGAGAAACAAGTTGAGGCGCTAAAGAGCATCGTCGGGTCGTTGCTGTGGGGTAGAGCTGTGTAGCTGCTGCCAGTTAACTGCCAAGATAGAAACAGGCTTTCTTCATGGCAGCAGTGAGTCTGCTGCAGGAGAGGAATCACTAGCTTGTAAAGAGGTACACAACAAAAGGCCCCTAAAGTGTCATCTAAGTTTATAAAAAGTAATCTTAAGACTTGTTTTTGGCTTACAAACTTTTTGGAAGGAATCTCTGAGTTTTGACTGTGTTGCCATTTCTGTAGGAGAAGGAAGGTAGAGGGAGGGGAGGGGAGGGGAGAAAACGTGTCTCATAAAAAGTACAACTACTGGTATATGAAAGCGTGGCCCTTTCAGAGGCTGCCTCACAGAAATAACAACAAAGCTGACTTTATTGGATGTTTTAGTAATAGAGGAGAGGATACCGCTGGGTCAGAATGTAACAGAGGAATACCAACAAATACATATCTCAGGATAAAAAGCAGAGGATGCAAAGTCAGGCTCCTACATTTTCTACAAACTCAACTGAACATCTGTCTGTGTTTCTTCTGCAGGAGCGTTACAGATTGAGAACAGCGAGGAAACGGACCAAGGGAAGTACGAGTGCGTGGCCACCAATTCTCAAGGCGTGCGCTACTCCTCCCCCGCAAACCTATATGTGCGAGGTAGGACGTCAACACAGAACACACGCGCACATGGACACACATGCACAGAGACAACACACAAGAAATCACTACTGTTAAGGTGCTCTTGGGATTAATGAAGTTATTTCTTCTCCGTTACTGTGCTCTTAAACAAGTTTTACTAACCCATCCATTGTCTACAATATATGTTGACCCTGTTGTTTGGTATTCTCACAACCACCTTTAACAAGTCCACCTTAAACCTTGGTGTGAGTTCCCACAGCTGAATCGAACTGAATATAAATTCGGGAACACACCTTGGTTTAACTGCATGGAAACATCACTGATCTGTCTACTAAAATGGTTTCTGTACTAGAGGCAGATTAAGAGGAAAATGTTGCACAAAAGATGCACAGATTTGATTGACGATTTGAATGAAATTAATTAAATTCAGAATCAGAATCAGGATATAATTAATTCTTAAATATGTTTGCATTATTGGCATCTGTGCGCCCACATGATCCTTGTTTAACTGATTCTAGCCTCTGGACTGTGGGTGCTGGCGTGTCACTGGCTTACTGCTGGAAGACCACGACCAATGTTCAGATTCACAAGTTCTAGTTTCTATGTTAAGTGGGATATCGGAGAAGTGTGTGTGTGTGTGTGTGTGTGTGTGTGTGTGTGTGTGTGTGTGTGTGTGTGTGTGTGTGTGTGTGTGTGTCTGTGTGTGTCTGTGTGTGTGTGTGTTTCAGTGGAGCGGGTGGCTTTGCGCTGGCCGTTTTTATTCTCTCTGTGTTTCCCCGTTCTCTCTCTCCCCCCTCACGTCATTGTGTTCTGCATCAACCCCCTTCCATCCCTCAGAGCTTCGAGAAGGTTGGTGTGCTCTTTCTTTTCTTTTGTTACTCCTTTGTTTCAGAAAGCTTCACTTATTGAAACAGAGAGAAACAAAAAAGAAAAAAAAAAAACCTTTAAAGGACACCGGAGTAGACTTGAAGTGAAATGGTTTTGTCTCCAAAATGGAGAGAGTTGATTTCTCTAAAGCTGCTACGATGATGAAGTGGTCTGCCTACGCAGCAGAGTGCATTGACTGCATTGTGAGGCCTTGTGTGCAGAACCCTTGGTATTGCCTTCACTCCCCGATCAATGTTTTCTGCATGGTATGATCTTGTTGTCATGGAGACCCAAGAATTGGAAGATTAAAAAGAGGCGATGTTTGCATGGAAGGAGTGAGAGAGAAAGAGAAAGGAGCACCGCTTGCATGTCTGTTGACTGACGGACTGACACAAGAGCATGGCACAGTGTGTGTTCACGCCTGTTGATATGCTCGGAATATGATATTATTGAACTTGCTGTCTTGTCATGTCTTGCTACTGTTATCTTTTGTTTTTTTTTTCCTTCCTTTTGTATCATCACGTGCAACGTTGTGTCCCAGCTCCCATGTCATCACATCTGCTCCAATTCTGCACTTGTTGCATTGAGTGGGAATCTTGCACTCGCTGTCATGCTTGTACATGCTGTTTTGTTCTGAAGTTATTCGTGCTGTGCAGGTTTGTAGGAGACGCATCAGTTATTTGACCAAATTCATGACAAAAACTCAAGATGGCAAGAAATCCATAACATCACCTGCAATGTAAAGTAGTAGGCGTACATCAAGTGCTGTATTTAAGTACAAATTTGACCTACTTGTATTTTACTTCTATATTTACAGTTCATACAGGACATGACATGCAATATAATTCATACTTTTTCTACTTCTTCAACTGCAAATTCAGAGGGAAATGTAGTACTCAGTTACATTTATCTGACAGATGTAGTTAGTAGTTACTTTACGAATTAGGATTTTATATAAAAAGTATAGGAAGATGTTGTAAAATATGATACATTGTTATAGATTAGGCACAACAGTTTACAAAACATTAAATATTTAAAATTAGCACCAATTGCAAAAGTAAAATAACATACACATGGATGATTACGCAGTAATACATAACACTAACAGGGGGCATTTTTTCTGCATTGAATGCTTTTGATACTTTAATGCTATACAATATAAAATATGGCACACCCTTCCTTTTAGAAATTGAACGCTTACTTATTAAGCAATAAAATTCACCCTCGCTCAATTAAATACTGTCAGATTTCAAAGCTACAGCCTGACTTGTTCTGGTATGACCAGTAGATTATAGCGATATAGCTAATGTTAGCTAGTGTTAGCACCCTTTAGCTAGATATTACTATGTGACATACATTACTGAGTTAGTTCAACAATTTTATGACTGTTATTTCTTGTGCTAATGTTACGCTATGTTTTACCATTTAGCATTACTCCATTACTGCCACTTAAAGTTTAGTCTCACTTTAAGTCAATTTTTTGCTAGTATGCTAATAAGTACTTTTACCTAGGGCCTAAGTGATATTCAGTGCAGGACCCCTGCTTGTAATGCGGTATTATTTACTTTATGGTCTTGCTAAAGTAGCCTATAATACTTCTTCCACCACAGCATATTCCCAATATTCATACTAACAATTCAATTCAATTCAATTCATTTTTATTTGTATAGTGCCAAATCACTACACTAGTATATTTGCAAGTATATGCTGTATGCTATATGCTAATTCTACTGTAACACAGCCTGTGCTGTGTCACTTCTCCAGGCTGTTGCTATCTACACCAGACAGTCCCATACATACGCCTTTTGACTGACACTTAAATTAATCACATCCATTCATATTTTTAGATATCCAGACAATATTAATGATTCCCTCTTATTACAGTGGTTTATGAAAGCCGTGTCCTTGAGACAGACAGGATGGTGCTGCCTAAATGTCAGCTCAGTGACGTGTCTGAACGGGTGTTCAGCTGTGCTGAGATGCAGCGGTAATCCTTATGGCTGTGCCAAGGTTTCCCCAGTCTGTAGCCTCCAGACTCCCTGCAGAGGAGGGGACTAATGATAGCTCCACTAATAAAGATTGAAGCTCGTGGCTCTCACAAACTGTATAGAAAATGGAGGGGAATCATGCAGCCTGGCTCGATTAACTTTAAGCTGGAGGCTCTGTGAGCATGTGAAGGATTATCCCTTGTTATGAGCTCACTTTATTGTAAAGTCCTCGGCTATGTCTCAATGGTGGATTCTTCGGTCCTTTGTCTCTGGTCCTGATTGATATTTTTTCTAGAAAAACTAATATCTCTCATGTTTCAGATCACGTAACATCATCTTGAGGCTTCACCTTCATCTTGTTGTTGCTCATATTACCAAACTAATCCATATGCTTAATTAACTGTGTTTTTTTTAGTTTGTTTTGTTGTATTAATAGGTCTAAAATAACTAATGACTGACTGAATTAAACTGATTACTTTTGTCATGCTGCATTGCACCTGCAGTGTCTGTCTTCTGCATGTAGCTGTCATGGGTGCAGTCTGTCTGTCTCTCTGTCTGTCTCTCTGTCGGTCTGTCTGTCTCCAGCATGCTCAGATGAGGAGATGCCTGCATAATCATGTCTGTTTCTAACAGATCTACCTGTTTTTGTCTCTTTGTCTCTTTCTTGTCTTCAACTTCTGTATCCAATTCTGGGTATCTTCCGGCTTTTTTTTTTTCTACAAGTATTCCAAATGCTTTGCACTTTATCTGTTATTCATGAAATGATAGTCACGTCACGGCAACTTTTTTTTTTTTTTTTTAATTTGTTGAAATCATGCAAAAATGTTAACTTCTATCCAACTGTCTCTAGATTCTTTGAGTAGGGGGATGTGGCCCATGAAGAATCCAAGTAATGATGTTACACATTAAGGAGTGGAGGTTATGCAGCAAATCTATCAATATTTATTTTATTTCATTTTGCTTTTTATTTTATATATTATATTAGAATTACTGCTGGATTTGCAAATCATCTAAATAAGCCTTGCACTTTCTTTGTTTTGCTATTGTAGCATTTGACAGTAACTTTTTATTTTAATCTATTTTCAGTACATTTGCTATATCTCACACGAATGAGCTTCCTAGTGTTGAGTTTAGTTTTGTTTTAAGACAATGTTTCTGCTTTCTGTCTGCCTTCCCTTTCATTCTCTCCTGTCATCCAGAGATGTTTGTCCGTTACTCTCTCTGTCTCTTTCTGTTTCCTGTGTTGTGACCCTGGGGTATCCTCTTTTTCTCTGTTCCTTCAACATACGATCGCTACTAGTCTTTTATTCTTTCTTTTTTTTTTCTTCTCTGAATGGGCCTGACTCTGGTATATAGCCGTGTTTTTAAATAGATCCATGTGTTTTCTTCTTCCTCGCTCCTCTTTTCTTCCCCCTTTTCCCTTCTTCCCCAAAACCCTCTTCTAATCCTCTCTTTATCTCCACTTCCCTGTCTTTTCCCCTCCTGTCCCTGCCCCTTTTTTCTCTTCTTCTTCTGCATTCTGTCTGCACCCTGATGTGTAGGAGCGACAGACACATGTACATAAGTTTATTAACTTATAAACATGCACATACTACCTCACATATCTCTCTTTTTGCTCGCACTCGTTCTTTCCCGTTCTGCCTCTGTCATGCTGTCTTGGTGTTCTTTACTTAATGTGTCCAATGATCACTCTGTAATTGCCACAACACCTTATTAGAACCCTCGATCCACTCCTGTCCACATTTCCAATTCATTTGACTACACACTGTATCAGTTATGAATCCTATGTATTGTACAGTATCTTGATGTACAATGTGGCTGTCCTTTGCTACATTGCCTGTCATTGTCTGGAAGAGAAGCAGAGCTGCCTCTCTCTTTCTCTCTGTCTCTATCTTTCTTTCTTTACCACCTGCTCTATCCCTCTATCTGTCTCTCCAGTGTCTCGGCTCTTGTCTTGCTTCTCTCTGTCTCCCTCTCAGTTCTTCGTTCTCTTCTTTGTGTTTTCTCCACCATTTTATCCCTCTTGAGTCGCCCAGGCATGCAAGTGACCTATGAGTTCAGTCTCTCGATGCATCTCTCCCTAATATATAGTCAACCAAGCTCCAACAAATGCAAAATTGGATGTAACTCGCCAGGTTACTTGTTCTTCTCGTGGAGACAAAGCAGTCTGGGCTTATTGATCCGCCCCCATGATGCATATACATGATCTAAAAAAAAAAAAAAATCTACTGCAGAAGCACCTCAAGGCACAGAAATCTCAATGAAGTAAAGTTTCTCACTCAAGTTTCTGGTAAGGTTAGTCATTGCTTAGAGGGGGGAAATATGAAAAACAAAAAATACAATTATAATCAGAAACTTGAATCACAAAGTCTGATTTTTCTGTCTTAAATGAGAAAAACATTTTCTTACAAAGAGAAACTGATTATAGGTGTCATGTCCTGGTTGAAATGGTACTCAAGAGTTTGTCACTATATTATTTTGAGTAGGCAGCTCACTCTGATTGGTTGAGCTCAACACAAGATTTTTGTCTTTCTGTTGGATTCATCAGTACCATAAAGTAATTGGGACTAAACTTGAAATATCCCTTTGTAATTTTCTGTAAAAACCCTGAAGTTCATTCTCCCCCTTCCTGTTACCTCTCCTCTCTTTCTCTCTCTTTTTCTTTCTTTTTGTCTTTCTTGCCCTCACTTTCTCTCTCAACCTCTATCTTGCTTTGTCTTGCTCTCTCTCTCTCTCTCTCTCTCTCTCTCTCTCTCTCTCTCTCTTTCTCTCTGATTCTCTCCCCCTTACTCCCTCCCCTCCTCCTTCTCTTTCCCCGCCTTTCTTCTCCTCACTCCCTTCCCCACTTTTCTCCTCTCCGGCCTTACCCCTCAACCCCAATCCCCAACCCCCCTCCTTTTCTACCCCAACTCTCCTCCTTTCCCAGTGCGCCGTGTGCCCCCTCGTTTCTCCATCCTCCCCTCCAACCACGAGATCATGCCGGGAGGGAGCGTCAACATCACCTGTGTGGCTGTGGGTTCACCCATGCCCTACGTCAAGTGGATGCTGGGCAGCGAGGACCTGACCCCCGAGGATGAAATGCCAATTGGCCGGAACGTGCTGGAACTCAACGGTGTCCGGGAGTCTGCGAACTACACCTGTGTGGCCATGAGTAGCCTGGGTATCATCGAGGCCACGGCTCAGGTCTTAGTCAAGAGTAAGGGACGCTATAATAACATGATTAATCATTTTGCCTCTTAGAGAGAGAAAAGGTTGCTGAAAAGTGCCTCAGTTGTAGATTCATAATGAATAAATTCAGTTTTATTGGAGACTCAGATTACCAATGTAATACCTTCTGTCAAGCAAATTTGCTCCGTAAATTTTAATAGTTTGTCCTCAGTTTTCTTTATTTAAAATTTTGAGAGTCAGCTTTATTTTTAATTTTTAATTTCATGCAGTGAGTACAAGTGCAACAAAATGCTGTTTAGCATCTAAACAGGTGATGCAAACAGTGGCAGAAGTGCATATAGTTATACATTAAATAAACCAATGAACAGTAGGATAGTGATAGTATGAAGGGGTTTTACAAAATATTTACAAAACAAACAAAACAATATACAAAATTTATAGTACAAATGCATCTATGATGTGTCATTAGTATAACTATAATATATTCATTATGGACAGAAAGTATAATTCTCTTCATCTCCCCTCTCTCTGATTCAAAGCTTTGCCAAAGCCTCCTGGTACACCCATCGTCACGGAGACCACCGCCACTAGTGTGACCATCACCTGGGACTCCGGCAACCCCGACCCCGTCTCCTACTACATCATCCAGTACCGAGCCAAAGGGCCGGACAGCAAGTACGAGACTGTGGACAGCATCACCACCACACGCTACAGCATCGGAGGACTGTATCCCAACACCGAGTATGAAATCCGAGTGTCGGCCTTCAACAGCATCGGCCAGGGGCCCCCATCTACGCGTGTGGAGGCTCGGACTGGAGAGCAGGCCCCGGCCAGCCCTCCCCGAAACGTCCAGGCTCACATTATCTCTCAGAACACTGTGATGGTCCGCTGGGAGGAGCCGGAGGAACCCAATGGACAGGTGGGATGAGGACAGAAACAGCTCTTTATGATCTGCTGTCACTAGTAAAAGTGGTACATACATTTTCTTTTATCTGTTGGTATTATTCTTTTGCAGACAGAAGAAGTGTTTGCAGTAAAGCCACTTGTGCTCAACAGAAAAGCATGTCTCTTCTGTATAAACAAACAATTAATAAATAAGAGTCCATTCAGTGTGACAGCTTCCAACCCCTGAATCCGATGTTTCAGGTTTTTCCTTCTGATTTCACTTTCAGCCAAAACTAGCAGATACAAAAAACAGTTTCATACTGTACCCTCTGTCATCTCCCAGCTTAACTCTGTGAGGAAAACATGAGCACATATACATGTTCACTACCCAAATTCTAAACATCTCATCTGATTAATTCAACTTATTGTTGAATTAAGTTTAATTGTTTTATTGTTAAGAGCTTTTACACTTTTATAAGTGTTCGTGTGCGTTGAGTTTTTGTCTTGTGTTTTCTGTCTTATCGGTCAATAAGTTGCACTGTGGGGACACTTACAATGATTGAATTGATTAAAAGTAGCACATTAAATAATTAAAATCATAAACAGATATATGAAAGCATGCATATTCCTCACATTTGAGATTTTGGCAACACTTTACTATTTATCATTTAGAGGAACTATATTAATATTTAATAAACGGTTTCTAATGCACGATAAGGTCGTTTTAAGAAGATACAAGTGATCTTTAATGTGTTTGTGTAACTGTAAGGAGGAGTTATAATTTCTAACAAATACTGTAAATCAATCTGCTTCAACTACATCATAGTGTGTTGCACACCATTTATTAAATGTATTGCTTATTAATTCTTAATACTTAAAGTAAAGTGACTGAAATTTCATTTGCCCTCACTTACTACAGACTGACAATATTTCAAAATTGCTCAAAGAGCCTCATGAGGTTAAAACGATAAAGCCTTCATAAAAGTCACCACTGGGAGCTTTATTCCAGTATGCAGGTTCATGTCCTTTGCAGGGATTGTGTCTTGCCAGAGATTTCCGTTCTGTAATTCCCTTGCTACTTTCCCCACTCACTAAAGAAAGAAAAGGTAATTGGACTGTCCGTTCTAAGTTAAGAGCAGTCCCATGAGACCTATTTCCTTTTTCTAGTCTACCTGACTGTACAGTAGGTTCATAAAAGTGCAAGACTGAATTGAGAGCATATGGGGATTATAGATATTAAAGAGTAATAACAGGAGAGGTGGTAGAGGTGGAGGGCAAGGGCAATGGCATAGCAGCAGGATTACATACACTCTGAACGTCCCATAAACAAATCCCATAGGAGAGGGTGTAGTGATTATATCTTACGCACTACAATCTGAGAGCATTCAGCTTGTATTAGAACTGGTTTTGTCAACCTTAAAGTGAGGCTTGTTTATCGGGGTCAAATGCATAACAGCCCCAGAGACGTGAGGACATGAATTTGTAACAGTGACCTCTAACAAACACTAAACTAGCAAATCCACGGGGCCATCTGGACTAAAGCAAAACAATAATTCATAGCTGATGAAAGTGTTGGAATGAGGTATTATGGCTTACCGTGCATGGAGGACAGCGAGATTAGATGGAAGATCACTTAATAAAGCCCAGTCACTGATGACTTTAAAATTCAGCCCAGAGTCCAGAAAACTCTCTGTCTCCCTCTATCTAACGGCCTGTCTGTCGCTCTCTGCATCTCCGTAGGTGAAAGGCTACCGTGTGTACTACACCATGGACCCGTCCCGCCCTATGAATGAGTGGCAGATTCATAACGTCCAGGACAGCGTGATCACCACCATTCAGAGCCTCGTAACCTCAGAAACATACACCATCCAAGTCCTGGCCTTCACCTCTGTAGGGGACGGACCCTTCTCAGACCCTGTCCATGTTAAAGTCATGCCTGGAGGTAAATGTGTGTGTGTGTGTGTGTGTGTGTGTATCTGACTCTGAGTGCGTGTGTGTGTGTGTGTGTGTGTGTGTGTACAGTTCAAACAAAATCATTGTTGGATGTAAATTTATCTTGCATGCTGGTGAATAGATCACAGCTAAGTAGTGTTCTTCAGTTTTTCATGTGTAGGAGAGCAGTGGTTGTTTTTCACAAGTCAGTGTCTGTGTGTGTGTGTGTGTGTGTGTGTGTGTCTGTGCATGCGTGCGTGTGCGTAAAAAACTGTTAAGTAGCTTATTCGAGTGACTTATGTAAAGTTTGAGAAGTAGTCCACTGTGGAACGCTTTGCAAATAAGCTTGACCTGTCAGAAAATGAAGGCGTCTTCAGAATGAATAAATTCTACCTGCTGGGACGGAAGTGTGGAGATTTAAGAAAAGGAAACAGGGATTAACAGCCAAAAATGTCCCTCGTACCTCTGTGTGGCTCTTATCGCTGCGGCAGCTGCAGAGAAGTTGCGGGTTTTACGTAGTACAAAGAGATGATTACTCAAAAATCTGTGATGGCATTAGTGGTTTAAATTTCTGTGTGGGTTGAGCTACGCCATGAGATGTCTCGAAAAAGTCTGCCGTTTTCTAGCACATAAAGGAATGAGATTACAGAATATAGGAAATGCTAGAAAATACAAGGGTTTAGGGATTTATGGGTCAGTAGTTGTACGTTATGAGGCTAATGTTGGCTAGAATTACATGGGAAAAGTAATTTTTGATTCCAGTATGACTCTAAACAACCTGAAAAATTAGGTTAAGATAAAAGTGATTGGTTTAAAACCTAGTTAATTAAGTGTTTCTCATTAATTAAGAAACATTTACAGCTAAAGTTAGAAAAAAGTCTTCCTTAGTAATAAGTTAATCATACTGTAACACTCCAGAACAAAACCCTGCTTCGTCAGGACTGTATTGGTGTGGTTTGATCAGATTTGATGGACACTGGCATTTCCCTGGTAACATTTTACCCCTTCTTCTATTAATGATATTAGTAATAATGCACTTAATTGATATAGCACACAGCTAGAATTTCCTTTACAGTAAAACAACAACAAAGCAAAACAGAAAAAAAGGTTAAAATTGACTAAAATAGTGAGTGAACCAGACAGGAGAAGAAAAATACTACCTATATAATTAAAAACATATCAAATGCAGTAAATAAAAAATAGAAATATAATGTGTATCAAAATGGAGATGGTGGAAAGGGAGGGTAAATTTGTAAAAGGTAAAAGCCTTAAGAAGATGTATTGTTGCTAAATTCTGATCGCTGGATGTAAATGATTTCGTTTCGTGAAATAACCAGTATCGTTCTAACTTTAGCAAAGGCTGTAATAGTGTGTTCATGAGCTGCGGGATCCCAACATTTATAGTAAGAAGCTGTTTATGAAAGCAGGTTTTCAAGGCCTTTAACTACAAACACAGGAATGTGAAAGACTGAAGAAAAATATTGGAGATTTTTTTTTTTTTTAGAATACGACAGAGCCCTGACTCACTGTGTTGTCCTGTGCCCTTCAGTCCCAGGCCAGCCAGGGAAGTTTAAAGTCGGTAAGGTGACAGACACCAGCATAGAGCTGACCTGGGAACCTGCTTACACCAAGGAGGGAATTGTCAACTATGAGCTGCTCTACAAACCTGTCAAGTTTGGCAGTTTGGTAAGACCTCTCATTCTCTTTTTATAAATCTGTCTGCCGAGTGGATTTCTTAACAAGACAGAGGGATAAGAGGACAGATAAAAGAAGAAGTTTAAAAGATTAACCTCGGCATCCTGCACCACTGTGTCTGGTGGAGAGGGTTTCATCTCTTCTCTCTTTCCAACTCCTCTTTAATGTTTTCTTTTTCCCTGCCCTCATGCAACCTTTCATCCTGTCCTCCGCTCCCCTCTCTCTCGTAGGAGAAGCTGACCTTCGGGCCCAGGAATTCTTACACGGTGGAGGGGCTGAAAGCGAACACAGAGTACTCCTTCTCCCTGGCTGCCATCTCAAACAAAGGCATCGGCGCTTTCACTAATGAACTGGTGCAGAGGACGTCACAAGCCAGTACGTCTCCATTTGACTGGGTTCACACAGTGTACCTGCAGGCACGCACGCACACACACACGCACACACACACACACACACACACACACAAATTTTAATAGTATTATGTTTCAGTCTTGTACACAAATTTTATGCAAATATTTTTGTCCTCTACACACACACACACACACACACACACACACACACAGCTCAAAGTGCATTGTCCTCAGCTCCTGACCTGGTAAAACCTGGGAACCATGTCCGCATCTCTCCATCTCTCTCGTTTATCAACCCATCTGTCCAACCCCCCCTCCCACCCATCCATCTACGTTTGACTGTGCCTTTCTTCCTCCGCTCAGCCTCTCGCTTTCTTACACAGCCAAAACATCATGACAGATGGAGATGGAGCACCGATTAATGTTTCACTCTTACTTTTCTTCACCCTCCTTTCACTTTTTCCACTCTATCAGTGTCTAATGTCTTTGAAAGGGCGAAACTGTCTGCCACTTATTGGCTACAAGCCAGTGGTGAGGAGCATTAAAGGATGGTGGCTGGCCCGCTATGTTGACAGGTAAGTGCCGGCCAGTCTGTATTTTATCCACGTTGAACTTAGATTCTCTCCCTTGTCTCCTTTCCTCTCTTTTTTTTTTTCTGCACAAGCACTGATAGCCGATAAGAGTCAAATAAGTTCCACTATTTTGCTCTGGCATATCAAGTCATTTCATATCTGCTCTCAAGAAGAAAATGCAGAGATAACAGAGAGAACGGTGCAAGGGAAAGAATTATTAAAGTAGTTGTAGTCGAGAAAAAAGGCCTCAAGTCCCGCGGTTGGTGGTGCCGTATCTCCTCAGCGGTAAGTTTTTGTTTACACTCGCTCGACAGACACGAAGTTTCATTCTGTGTGTTTCACAATCAGATCGTTTTTAGACCTGAGCTCAGAATGTGCTAAACGTTTTTAGCTGGTCTCATTTCACTCTCTACTTCCAAAAAGAAAGCGAGACCAAGGTGGTACATCGGAGGAGGTGGCAAGGGGATGGGTTCAGGAAAGGGAAGGTGCCAGATAAGCAGACTATTTCATGCAGCAGAATTCATTTCCCAGGGAGGTTATGTGCGCTTTGTTATCGCCAGGCTTTGGTGCACATCTAGATTGTCCCCCGAGGCCAACAGAACAGTGGCTGTACGGCTGAGTGGATAGATACTTGAACCTGTCAGCTATGACTATTACACTCGCACCAAACACACATGCAGTACACTCGTGAACTCGCGCACAAGCCCTGACGCCCCCGCCATGCTCGCCGCTGTGTGTGCGCGCGCTCTTTAAGGAACATTTTATAGGGTGAGTGATACCCAGGGTTCAGAAATCATCTCTGGTGTGTGAGTGTGAGTTTGGGTCTGTGTCTGTTTCTGTACTCGTGTTTGTTACAGTAAATATCTCAGCCTACTTCTGATTCAGTTCTTGTCTACAATTCATCTTTCTAGCCTGACTTTCAATATCCATCTGAGTGCCTTTCCCCCCGTTTTTTTTTTTTTTTTTTTTTTTTTTTTTTTTTAACCTGCCTCCTAAATCCTTTCGACACTGTGTGAGATCTGTTTTAGTTTGTTTTTTCCTTCCTCTGTGAAGCCCAAGACCTTCTCCTAGTCAGCAGTGGAAAGTCTGAGACCACTCTATTATCCCGAGGACTCAAGGATTATGCCACCATGGGGGCTGGTGTTGTGAAATGTGTATTTTTTTCTGTGCTCCTGTGCAGTGAGCTGTACATCTCTGCTTTAGAAAGAAAGACTTTGTCTATTTTTCATTCATAAACCTGGATCCTTTCATGCCACTAGCTACGGCCAAAGGATAAAATATAATCATTGGGTATCAGATGCACATTCTCCTTGGGTATAATTAAGTTGTCCACTCAGGGTCGATACTCTTGTCTCTGGTTTATTTCATTAAGCTCTAAGCCTAACATTATGCTTTTACATTATGTGGTTGCTCCCCTTTTTTGCCTGAGTCATGTTTGTCCTGGTGTTATCTCTTTCGGTTCAGTTTACCGTAGTCTCTTATTGTTTCCTTTTTTTCATCCTTATCTCCTATCCTTTTACTTGTATTTTTCCCTTCTCTTGCTTTTTCAACCCCATTCTCGTGGGTCTCTTCCTTAACTCTTTGCCAATTGCCCTCCTTGCTCCTTGTCCAATCAGAGCCCTCAGCTGCACCCGAGGGTGTGTCCTGCGAGAGTGCCAGCTCCACCTCGCTGAAAGTAAGTTGGAGGCCGCCTCCAATGGAGGGCCAGAATGGCGAGTTGGCAGGTTATGAGCTCAGATACCAGAGAGTTTCTGGGGCAGGAGGCGGAGGTCAGGGCCAGGAGGTGAAGGGGCTTCCTATCCCGGCCCAGCAGGGGCAGACAGTGGTAGAGGGGCTGGAGAAGTGGAGCTGGTACAACATCACCATGACAGCCTCCACCACAGAGGGGACTGGACCCAACAGCCCAGCTGTGCTGTGCAGAACTGATGAGGATGGTAAGAATGAGAGCTGTAGATCAGACCTAAACGGTATTGAATGTTTAGTTGATTATTTACTGGCTGGGCTGCTGGTCACTTAATTAATTCTGTGTGTGTGTGTGTGTGTGTGCGTGTGCGTGTGCGTGTGCGTGTGTGTGTGTGTGTGTGTGTGTGTGTGTGTGTGTGTGTGTGTGTGTGTGTGTATGTGTATGTGTATGTGTATGTGTATGTGTATGTGTATGTGTATGTGTATGTGTATGTGTATGTGTATGTGTATGTGTGTGTGTGTGTGTGTGTGTGTGTGTGTGCGCGCATGCGCTCAGTTCCCAGTGCAGCCCCTCGTCTGGTGGATGTCCAGCCGCTGAACTCCTCAGCACTTCGTGTCACCTGGCGGTCAGTGTTGCCACGGTTACGGCAAGGCCAGATCCGAGGCTACCAGGTACATTTCAGCCGTGCAGAGAGCGGCGAATCCCGCAACCTTCCCCGCATCAAAGACCTCTTATTGGATGAGTCACAGGTGACATCATATCTGAATATTTAAATTTTAAATGATAAAATGATGTTAATTTATCTTATCATTAAACCTCCTCCCTCTCCTCTTTGGTCCTTTGACTCACTCCTTCTCTCATCTGTCCCGGCTGCCTGCGGGGTGTGACATGTCTGTGGCATAAGATGGAGGACGATGATTCGACTCAGTATGTGAGTGCAGATCACCCATCCTTTTCTCATTATAAATGAAGCTACTATTAATACATACAGCGCAATGCAGCCAATACGTTACACAAAGAAATCCCTATTGTCTAACCACCAGAGATTTGATTAGCTGCTGTGTAACGTTTAGATCATTTTTACTGACGCAAAACGGTAAAGACAGGTTGAAGAGATCTGTTCATTGTCTAAAATGGAGAGGAATGAGTTAGCAGTATTTGCTGGTGTTATGTGTTTCTCCCACAGGAGCTGATTTTGGGAGGTCTGAAAGCAGAGACGTTGTACTCTGTCTCAGTGGCAGCGTACACCACCAAAGGGGATGGAGCGCACAGCAAAGCCAAGCTGGTGCAGACCCCAGGGATTGGTAAGCACATGCCAAGTATACAATTCAGTTCACTGGATTTAGTAACATAGTCAAGCATTGATCTTACAATAAGCTGCAGCAGGAGCCAGCAGTAAATAAACTGCCAAATCAATTCTAATTCTTCTACAAGATTTTCATGATATATGTTATATATATATATATTACGATTGATTTTCTCCTGCCTACACTGTCGTTTGCAGTGCCCGGCCCCCCCTCCCTTTGGCTGCGTCCAGGATCGGGTCCATCAGTGGTGGTGCGGTGGGCTCCTCCGCTGGAGTGCTTTGAGTCAGGCTCTGATAGCCGGGGGGCCCCAGTGGAAATCCAGGGCTACCGCCTACAGTTTGGCCTGAAAAATACCACTTTAGACACCACAGTGGATTTCACGAGCCGGGAGAAAAACTTCACCGTCAGAAACCTCTCCCCGGGCTCCTCCTACGTCTTTATCCTCTCTGCGAAGAGCCGAGCAGGCTATGGTGATGTAGTGCAGCAGGAAATAACAGTTCCCATGTTCCCACCCTTGGGATACCCCAAAATATCTGACTTTGTTAATGCCACTTGCTGCTCCCTTCAGTTCTCCTGGCTGCCCCTTGCCCTGGAGGAGTCCAACAGTGTCATTACAGAGTACACCATAGCTTACAAAGAGGCTGCAGGCCCCAAACCCTCTATTGACCCTGGCCCCTCTCCCTCACCAGCCCTCCCTGCTCCCCCGTGGCTGATCACGCTACCGGCGAGTGATTCCAGCTACACCATCCTCGGCCTCAATCACAGCACAGCCTACGAGTTGCAGCTCAGAGCCCACAACAAGGCAGGGCCAGGCCCCTTCAGCCCACCTCTGGTGTGCCAAACCCTGGCCCTCGAAACAGGTAGGGCTGGCCTCAGGCCTCGGGAACACCCTTCACCTTCTAAGCACTGGTTCAGCTTCACAACTCTGCTCCCCTTACTGGGGATTTCACTCCAAAACACTAAATTAAATGAAGTCTGGGCCAGTTCTTACAGGTCAGCCTTTCACCCATGCACCTCAGAGAAGCTGAGAACTGCAAAGTCCAGGGGAACACGACTACTCCCCTCAATCTCCTCCACTCACTCACTTATACCTTCATCACCTACCCTTCACCACAAGTGGAAGCAGGCTGAATGTTAATGGATGTTTGCTTCAAGAGCACTGCTTATCACAAACCCTCAGGTAAAAGTCAATACAGGACTTGGATATACAGTATCTAATACAGAAGGTAAGTGTTCAGTCTGAATTCAAGTAAAAACCGGCATCTGGTGCTGTATCTGCAGGTAAGCTTTTTTTATCTGATAGACCTCCACTGCCACCTTTTCCAAAGCCTTTGCTGACATGCTGAATTCTGAGTCGAACAAACACAACCTTACACTCTGTGAATGTGGCATGTCACATTCCTGCAGCCGGTCTGTCTGTTATTTGTACTTATTACTCTTGCCATCCACTCTCCTCATCACCTGCCCATCCTCGTAACCATCATGTATTCTCCTTCCGTAACAGATCTGACTGACGTTCCCTCCATTTTTACAGGTTCGCAGTTGGAAACCAGAGGAGGCTGTGATGTGAATAGAATGCTTCATCACGAGTGACTCTGTTTTTTTTTTTTTATTTGTTTGCTTCCCAGATGTGCCGAGGAATTTTTCTGTTAATCTGGCCACTAAAACCAGTGTTCTTCTGACGTGGGAGTTTCCAGAGAGCAGCAATCCCTATCGCTTCACTGTATGTCCATCAGCAACAATACAAAATATTTAGGGGATGTTTTTAGTTCTAATACTTAACATAACCATAGATTAGATTTCTGTATTTTTAGGATGTATCGCCCCAAGCTGAATTATACTCACAAGTGTGGAAGAGTTAACCTTTGAGGACCTGCTGTTCCACCCGCAGGATGTTGGCCTCATGTAGAATTTCTTGAACTAATTCTATGAAAATGAAAAATTTCATATGTGTTACAAAATCTGCCTACCAGCAGCTCTAAAGCCCACTAATTAACTAATTAACAAGTATCTAGTTTGTTTAATGTAGACAACGTTTCGAAGGGGGTTTATCTCCCCTACTATTTCTTGGCCTGGAGTCTCTACTGGTTGCCTGGCAACTGGTCCTGGCCAAGAAATAGTTTTACACATAATCCCCAGTAAAACAACGAATTTTTATTTTTACACTTTGTTTTTTTTTTTCTATGGATTTAACAAAGGAGATGTATTTTGTTAATTAGTGAGTTACCCAAGTTCTGGTAGGCGGATTATGTTCACAGAGTCAGAGCTAGAGCTGTTTCCCCCCTGCTTCCAGTCTTTATGCTAAGCTAGTTTAGCCAGCAGCTGGTGGTAGCTTCATAGATTTACCATACAGACATGAGAGTGGTATCAATCTTCTCATCTAAGTCTTGGCAAGAAAGCAAATAACAGCATGTCCCAAAATCTTGAACATTTTCTTTCAAATGTGGCATAAATTGGGGAGGTGTGGCAGTACATCAGTGTAATAAACCCTGAAGCTTATAATTCAGTGTTTTCATGTAGATAGCCCCAAAAAGGATGCTGAGGGTTAATGTACAATAGAATATCATCAGCATATAGAATATGAATAAGCATCTTGACCTATTTTTTTTAACACCAACCCTGTCCTGTCCCCCAGGTGGAGTATAACCGCCAGAAGATGGAGGTGGATGCTCGTCTGAGAAAGGCAGTCATCCCAAACCTTCAGGCCGACACCAGCTACGACTTCAAGATCACCGCTCCCGAGGGCAACATGGGAGGCCTTCGCCACCGCATCACCGCCAAGACCTCACCGCCAATCACTATCCGCCGCCCTGAGATCGATCACACCCGTGACACCGAGACCACCGTCACCATAATCCTGCCATCGCTGGAGAATCGCACTCCTGTCAAGTAAGACTGAGGGATGCAGTTGTAGATATTGTTATGGTTTTTGAATTAGTCGTCGTGGCTTTCATAGACTTGCTGCACTCAGGTCAGATAACTGCATTTGCTAAAGGTGTGGGGCATGATGATAGCATTACCAACCTATCAAAATGTCTAAGATACAATCTCAAGTTGGCAAGGAAACGTGAAAATAGTTTGAGACATGTTTGTTATTGCACGAGTGCAGCTGGTGTTATGCTGTTTGTCCTCCTCTGCCCCCACAGGAATGTTTATGTTGTTGTGGTTCCGCTGAGGAGAGCCCGCGGCGTCATCAGACACCTCAAGAGCCCAGATGAAATGGACCTAGAGGAGGTGAGAACCACAACAATGACAGCACCCACTGATGTCTGTGCCTGGAAGGAGGAAAGGACCTATAAACACACACACGCACACACATACACACACAATCCCATTGCTAAGAACTCCTGGCAACACTTAATTTTTAATTCAATATCAGTGTTGAAACATTAGTCATAGCTACTGGAACGTCTCGTTTCTCTTATCTGTGTGTCTTCCCTCTCTCTTTTTCTGTATTTGTCTTCTCTCTCCATCTCTCAGCTGTTAAAAGACATCAGTCAAAGGCAGAGGGATTCTCGGCAGCAGAAGCAGGTGGACTTGCGCCGGGCTTACATCACAGCCCGTTTCACACCTGCCACCCTACCGGCCTTCTTCACCCTGGGGGACCAGCTGGACTACGGAGGTTTTGAGAATCGAGCTCTAGAGCCGGGGCAGGAGTACGTCTTCTTCATCCTGGCTGAGCTCAACTCCACAACTGGGGTATGAACGCCACCGTGTCACATCTCTTTTCTCTCTGCGTTTATAACCGCTACCTCTGCCTGTGTTTCTCTCCTGCAGGCTGTCAGTATACATTGTAATCAATATGGCCTTGCTGCTAAAACAATAAAATTCACATCAGTCAAAGTGTTGTAAGCAAAAGGCAATAACCTTCACGTACTTCCATCACCGCTGCTAATAAAGAGTGAGTGTACCTACTGTGGCAGTGGAAGAGATATTGCCTTGTGCACTGCTGGTATATGTATGTGCATTTGAATTGGAGTAGACGTAAATATACAGGTTGAATTAGGATAGATTTTATTTTCTATTAGATGTTTTTTTTTTATTAGAAACGCCCTGGGGACGGTCTTCAAAAGTCCCTCAGAACTAATAAAAAAGGAACTTCAGTTCACTTCTATTTACATTAATTATGAAAACACTACAAACATCAATAAGGTTAGGTACTTTCTTTCATATATAATCTCATACACATATGCACATAAAATCAGTCATGTGCAACTTGGACACAATTACAGAAACGCCTGTTCAGTCTAATGAAATCCAGTGCAACAGCTCTGCAATACTTCAAGTACTACTTACTACTACCTTTTTTTTTCTTACAGAGAGCAGTGGATTCTCCCCTGTTGTTATTTTTTTGGCTCACTGTTTGTAGAATTATTGCACTGAATTGGGATTAAGTGTCAGGTTCATGTTATTTCATCCACTGAGACAAAAAAATACTGAGATAAATGTAAAAATACAATGGAACACCTTTTTTATAATCATACCTTTATTGTCACACTGCTAAAACGGTTCATTTAGTCCTGGTTATCTCTAAAATAGAGATACAAAAACAACAACACCACCAGTGTCTTGCACAGTTTTGCCGATTGTCTGTCTTTATATTTGTCTGCAGAAAATGTACGTGGCCAGCCCTTACACAGACCCAGTGATTGCCCCAGATTCAGACCCTCAGCCCCTCGACGCAGGTGATGGTCTGATCTGGGTAGTGGGACCTGTCCTGGCTGTGGTCTTCATCATCTGCATTGTCATCGCCATCCTCCTTTACAAAAAGTGAGTGGGGTGAACTCCATAAAAACAAAAGGTCAAATTTATAACCATGGGACAAACTCAGACTGATGGTCAGACCAGGCAAATGCCAAAGGAGCTTTGATTATTACTCTCAAGGGATGAAACTGGCTTTACTCTATATATTTCTTAATGTCAACAAATTCCATCAAAAGGACCAGTGCAGTGCACCAGTCTCTCAGTACATTTCAACAAGTGTGTTTGGGGCTCACACATGCATCCTTACCAAACATGTAAATCTTTGAAAATGCCTCACAAATGTAAAGTTTCATTTTTAAAAAGACTCCGTAATTTCCTGAAACAGCTGGGCACTGTAGTTTGTAGAAAACATTAGTGAAATAGGAGTAAATTGTGCATTAGTTAGGGACCATTTTTAGTACTGGATAAATATACTGTTTGCTCTAGTGTATATTTACAGCATTAGGATGGTGTATGTGGGACTGAGTCAAATTAAACACGGCAGCCACAGCAACAGTGTGGCTCAATGATCTGTTTTTAGTTGTTTTTCTCATCAATGGAGGTCTATGCTAGATATCAGGCTTCAGCTACACAGCACCTCTTAGTAAGACCAATTTGTTGCTGTTTTTTTAGGATTTGTTGACAGTAAGAAAAACTCGGAGTATTACCAGCCTCATTCTTCAAGGATATATTAAGTTTGTGTCTCTCAGGCTCTGTGCTTACACTCTGCTCGCAGCTCCAGCTGATATTCCTTCTACCAGAATTGTTTAATGTCCAGCAACCCTCACACAAACGCTCAACTTTCAGTCTGATATTCATCAAATTTGTTCCAATTTAGAAGTTTGTTCTCCCCTCAGGCGTCTATCAAGCAGCCTAACCCTGCTGTAGGCCTGTGATATCTGCTGCAAGCCATCAAGCTTTTGAATACTAATGCAAACTATTGATTTTCCTTTCTAACAATCTGTCTGTTTCCTTCCTTTTCTTCCTCTAATTATTCCTTCCCTTGCTCTTGTTTCACTGGAAGCAGCAAACCTGACAGGTAAGATTAAACCAATGTCAAGCTCTTTGTTCGTTTTAACCCGCAGCAATTACATGATACCAGAGAACTTGTACAAAGCAGTAAAACACCATATCTGTAAATGCACTATTTACTTGATTCAAGTAGCCATGCTAATGATGAGTCAGTAATGAGTCTGCATGTGCTAATTTCTCTTTTGACTCTCTGGTATCTGAGCAGCAAGCGCAAGGACTCTGAACCCGGAACCAAGAGCCTTTTGAGTAACGCAGAGATGATGGCCCATCACCCAACAGACCCTGTGGAGATGAGACGCATCAACTTCCAGACTCCCGGTATGAAGCGCGTGCCCACACAGGCACCCAAACACACGCTTTGTATCTGCATAATAAAGTATACTTACGATTGCTCATCATTTGATAATGAAAGATTCATGCAGCTAATTTTAACCTCGGTAAGATTATGCAGACAAGATTGTGAAAGTGCTCCTCCGCATCTCAACCAACATGTACCTGGCAGCTTCCAGTCGTTTCCCTGATCAAAATGGCCGCTGCCCAAGTAGTACAGTCATTGCTTAGTCACAGCTGAGTCATAACGGTGTGACAAAATTTGATCATCTCCGCTCGCCCACATTCCACATGCCACGCTGCAGTTATCACATCAGAACAGACAGATTTACAGCGACCAGTCTTATCACACTTAAATGTCTCTGAGTCAAGTTTAATGGCGACAATGATATATCAAAAGTTGTGTTGCGGGTTATGTGATCATTTGTTAAGGAACGGACTCTGTTCTCGCCAGCATAACCAAGTAATACCCCACTGTGAAGTAACTACATGGATTTTGCCGCTCCCAAACCCCCTACTGAGTAAGATCTAATAACACAGCTGCTTTGGTTGTGGCATCGGGCCAATGATGCTTCGATTTCACTTCTTCTATTCAATTAACAGCATCCAAAAAACACACGGCCTGAAGGAATTTAATCACTGTTCTCACTATATTTTTGTGGCTGCAGTTTATAGAAGCGTCCTTGTTAAAAAGGTGGTAAGATGTGTCACCGCTTCAACGCTGTGGCACGATGTACCACAGTAAAAAGGTTTAGACTTTACTTGCCAGGATATATAAAGTCAAATGATGTTTTTTTTTTTTTTTAATCCATAGATGAAGGTCTTTTTTTTTTACTTGTTTCTTGGAAGCAAAGTAAAACCCACAGAATAAAACACTTCAGCTCCTCTTTTCTAACATTTTTTTTTTTTTTTTTTACTCTCTTGTGGCAGCAACATTGAGGCTCCCTCCTCACCCACTTCTCCTCCCCTGAGATTTTTGCTTTTGAGATGCTCGGCAAAGATGAAATTTGTTTCCAACAAAACCGGCTGATGCTATTTGAGGTCATTTTGGTCGTGACAGGAGCATTTTGTCGTGATTACCTGTGGGTGCTGCAGCACCAGGCTGCAGAAGAAAATAACAGTTGATATGAGCCTTGTTTTTTATAGCTGTAGCAGCAGAATGACTTAAATGCTTTTCATAGTGCATCGAGATGCATTACAATCCAAGAGACATCGAGAAAGGATTCTGACATTGGCGTTAAATGGATTGTGTTTATTGCATGCACACTAGTGTTACTTTGATTTATTGTTGTCGCTATTTGCTTTTTGAATGGAGAATGGATCTATAGCATCTCCTCTCTTGCTCCAGCTGTGAAAACAAACGACTGCATGAGGCATAGGTTGCTTCCTTTGTGTGTGTGTGTGTGTGTGTGTGCACTCAACCCTCCTAATTAGTGTTCTGTCTGTGTTTGTTTTCTCTGAGTCGTTGCTCCTCTGATCACACAGAAAGCAATTTATCAAAGAAAAACAATTTACAAACAAACAAGACTCGCCTCACTTTGTCCTCACACATGGATCAAAATTGATTTTCTGCCTCAGCGTGTTCCTTAATGATATGTGATGTTCTGTGATTGTATAATTATCTTCACATCTTTGCATATGAGTGATGTCAGCCTGCAGTAATTTCAGTTTTTCAGCCGGAGTTTGCTTCACCTTTGACCCTTGTCGCGCAGGAATGATGAGCCATCCTCCCATCCCCATCAGCGAGCTGGCTGAGCACATAGAGCTGCTGAAAGCAAACGACAACCTCAGACTCTCCCAGGAGTACGAGGTGAGAAATAACTTATTATTCCATACGAATAAATAGATAACATCCTTATTGTTTAGAGATGTTAAGCCTGTTAAGCCTCTGCTTCATAAAGCAAATCTTATTTAACATTTGCATCTCGGTGTGCAGACTATATGTTCATGATTTATTTAGTAGTGCAATTGATTGCTGTAACTTGTCAGCGTTATAGTGCACTCTCTTTCCATTATCCTCAAATACACCACTAAATATGCCACCACTGCTAATGTGTCTATTTGCTGCTTCTTCCCAGTCCATCGACCCAAGTCAGCAGTTCACCTGGGAACATTCAAACCTGGAGGTCAACAAGCCCAAAAACCGCTACGCTAATGTGATAGCGTACGACCACACCAGAGTCATCCTGGCTCCCATAGAAGGTAAAAGAAGAGCAGGTTAAAGAAGATGTTTAGAGATTCTAATGGGAGAGTCTGAGTGTATTTGTGCTCGGGGGGGGCATAGAAGGGGAACAGAGCGGAGGGGGGTGGGGGTGGGGGTGGGTGGGTGGGGGATTGCATGATGAATGAAATCTGAAATTGCAAACAGTGCTCAAGACAGGCTGTGTGCAGTGGCATGAGACTGACAAACAGCGCGAGTGCATTCAAGTGCAGCCAGCAGTCCTCCAGAACAAGAAGGGGGAGAATGGATTTGATCTGGAGCTCATGAATTTACACCGACAGAGTCTTGTTTGTTTGTTGTCGTCCGCTAGTCATCCAGCAGCCGTCTGTTGGAAGCCACGGCTGCCTGAAACAAACAGTTCGTTAGGCTGTTTGATGTCATACATGGAGGTTAATTTATTATGTCGCTCATGAAGATGGCAGTTTAGCAGGAGCCTCACAAGTGTCTCATTTTGCAGGTATCCTGGGGAGCGACTACATCAACGCCAACTACATTGATGGCTACAGGAAGCAGAATGCCTACATTGCTACCCAGGGGCCCCTGGCGGAGACATTTGGGGACTTCTGGAGGATGGTGTGGGAGCAGCGGGCCGCTTCTGTCGTCATGATGACACGCCTGGAGGAGAAGTCACGGGTAAGAAACCAGGCCTTTACCTACTGACCTGTATGCAGAATATTCATTATCTGGAGTACTCTCACATAGTAATTGTAGGGGCTGTGTGGTTTACAAATCTGATGAAATTATGGACTCATCAGTCCAGTCTGAAAACAATATTTTTCCTCTGTCTGTGCAGATAAAGTGTGATCAGTATTGGCCGAGCCGCGGCACAGAGACATACGGGATGATTCAGGTCACCCTGTTGGACACAATGGAGCTGGCCACTTTCTGTGTTCGCACCTTTTCCCTGCATAAGGTAAATTATTTCACTCTTTGCCTCCTGTGTTCACCCTTGACTCACCGCTGTGCCCTCACCTCCATTAAATTTACTGTTACACCCACTGAAAACTGCTTTGATCTCTGGAGTTTTACACTTAGGAACCAGGAGCAACTGGAGTAATCATGAATTTCTGCCGTCACTGCATGAGTAGTGCATGCAGACGCTCGGAGGGTAATAGATTAGTCTGTGCTTCATGGAGTGTTCAAACCAGGCCAGCCTCCCTGTGTCAGGCGCTGAGATTTGATCACTGTTGGAGGCAGAGCACTTTCTTATAGCACAGGGCTAATCTAGGACTGTCAGACTGGCGTGTCTCTGTGGCCTACTTACAAACACAGAAACTAGGCCAACTGTAGCTTCCAAGAGTTGCACTGCTTCTTTAAATTTTTGTTTGTGAAATGTCAAGTTGGGAGACACGTCTTACAGTCGAGAGTAATGCACATGAAATAGTCAGCGATGCTATTGTTTTTTTTGTTTTTTTTTCCTCTTTGTAGCTGATGTGTAGTGTAGGAATATTTATGATGTATGCAGTGTGAACAGTGAGGGTTTTTTTTTTCTATGAATCCATTTAAAAGGTGTGCGGTATGAAGGACACTGGAGATATTTCTGTGAATGTAATATTAATAATATTCAGTAATGCAATGAGGATAAAGCTTAGACATGTACATGTACAGACAATTATGATTTCAGGAAAAGTGAAGACAGTCTTTTTTTCTGCCTGTTTCTTACGTCAGAGTGGCAGCAGTGAGCGGCGAGAGGTGCGTCAGTTCCAGTTCACAGCCTGGCCAGATCACGGTGTGCCAGAGTATCCCACCCCCTTCCTCAACTTCCTCCGCAGGGTCAAAGCCTGTAACCCTCCTGATGCTGGACCCATCATCGCTCACTGCAGGTACACACACACACACACACACACACACACACACACACACACAGTTTATCTTAAATAAAAAGTTTGACATTTGAGGAAATCGACTTTGCTTTTCGAATTTGCTTTCTTCCCAAGAGTTAGATGAGATGTTTAAATGTATGATGCTTAAAAAAAAAGACTTAAAGGATTAATCAATAATCAGAATTGCCAATGATTTTTCTAGGGGCCAACAACAAATTTTTTTCCCCAGCGCCCCCGAAGAAGGTTGGTCCAGCTCAACTTTCTCATCTGTGTGACATATGGCTTTGTGTGAATGTTAGCAGAAAGAAGTGTACATGTTGGGAACACGATTCTTTTCTGTTCCTGAATTTTTGAGGGCACTATATAGTGAATAAATTTACACACTTTCAGACACTCGAATAAACTTTAATCTTATCCTTCTCGAGAAAGCGGGGGAAGTGCATTTCCCAAAATGACAAACTATTCCTTTCAATAAAATGCCAAAAACAAAATTCAGTAAAACAATAAAGAATAAAAACTCACATCCCACTTACCCTCCTCCTCTTCAGTGCTGGGGTCGGGCGCACTGGCTGTTTCATCGTCATCGATGCCATGCTGGAGCGCATTCGACACGAGCGCACCGTGGACATCTACGGTCACGTGACCCTGATGCGCTCACAGAGGAACTACATGGTGCAGACGGAGGACCAGTACAGCTTCATCCACGAGGCCCTGCTGGAGGCTGTGGCCTGCGGCAACACCGAGGTGGCCGCCAGGAGTCTGTACTCCTACATGCAGAAGCTGTCCAAGGTGGAGAGTGGAGAGCACGTCACCGGCATGGAGCTGGAGTTTAAGGTGAGGGAGAGTCCAGGGGAAAGTGTTTGGCCATGTCTACTTCCAATCCCTCATTACGGTCTGCATGTGTCTCAGCTGTGGGCAGTTCAACATGAGATTGATTTTAATTCCAAAAATGTGTTTGACCTGAATAATTTTTAGAGGCCTGAGGAAGTAAACCTCCCGAGGACATGTCAAGAAAAAAGTATAGACTAAAGAGAATCTTTAACAATAGTTAGTGCAACCCCCTAGTTGGGAAACACTAGAATATAGAATACAGTTGTAGCTTCGTATATTAGCTAACCAGGCAAATAATCCTGCTCTAGATAATAGTTTAAAGTTTAAAAACCTCTGTAGTCACACATGCACCTTTCCTCTCTCTCTGTCCAGCGACTTGCTAACACCAAAGCCCACACGTCCCGGTTCGTCACAGCCAACCTGCCTTGCAACAAATTCAAGAACCGACTGGTCAACATCATGCCCTATGAAACCACCCGCGTCTGCCTCCAGCCAATCAGAGGCCTGGAGGGCTCCGACTACATCAACGCCAGTTACATAGATGGATACAGGTGTGTTTTCCTCCCGCAAACACTAATATGACCTGACCCCCCCATCCTCATATGACGGCTTGATGAGTGAGTGGATTGGATAGGTTTTCACCACAGTGCTCTCACCTGTCATGTCCTGTCACATCTGTCATTACTGTATACATGTTCCCCCTATTTGTCTCGCTGCGCCGCTTTCGCTTCAGTGCCAGTGAAGGGGGACGGACGCTGAGGAGCTTCTGATGATTCAGGCATTCAGAGTGGTTGCACACACATGTTTTGACTGTTCCTCCTCTTTGCCTGAAGCCTGACCCTCTTTTCAGTCTGATGTTTGACAGAGGAAGAAACAAGGAAAATGAAGGGAGGAGGTGGCTTCATATTGTGTGTGTGTGTGTGTGTGTGTGTTTGTGTGTGCGTTTGTAGGCAGCAGAGAGGCTACATCGCCACCCAGGGTCCACTGGCCGAGACTACGGAGGACTTCTGGAGGATGCTGTGGGAGCACAACTCCACCATAGTGGTCATGCTCACTAAACTGAGAGAAATGGGGCGGGTAGGGACAAAATATTTACACATAGAAATCACAGCCAATTCCAGCCATGTACACCAGATCATCCCCTCAATACTTTTTCCTCTGATCTGCTCTCTCAGGAGAAGTGTCACCAGTACTGGCCTGCCGAGCGCTCAGCCAGGTACCAGTACTTCGTGGTGGACCCCATGGCAGAGTACAACATGCCTCAATACATCCTGCGGGAGTTCAAAGTTACAGATGCCAGGGTGGGTTCATGTCTAAAGACTTGTTCTCCTGTTGTATGTTGTATTCAGACGGCAGTGTAACATCACACTCTTTGACTTTTCTGTTCTATTCCCAATCCATCAGTGCTGTCAGGAAGCAGTGGCGCCAAGCATGTCCTATCGACCTGTAGTGTGTGTTTTTGTATGCGAATGTGTGTAACACAGCAGGTTAGCACTATCGACAAGCCGCCCTGGATTACTCATTCAACCATGCTGTCTCCAGATTATCGAGAGAGAGAGAGACTCTGTGTGTGTGTGTGTGTGTGTGTGTGTGTGTGTGTGTGTGTGTGTGTGTGTGTGTGTGTGTGTGTGTGTGTGTGTCCGCTCGTGCACATGTGCCAGTCATAGATAACTCCAGTTAAGCCTGTCCTGCACTGACGCCACATCGACAGATGCTCTATTGATCTCCATTAAAGGGGAGTCAGAAAGGCTGAGCAGAGGAGAAAAGATGTAATTGCGTACTGAGTGGCTGACAATAGCAGACGGACTGACATTACAGCTTGAAGTTAACCACAGCCACTGATCCAGGGTCAGATAACAGTAATCATTAGAAGGTAAAAAGGATGTTGCCTGATAGAGTCTCAGTCCTCAGTCTTAAACGTGTTCATAGTGTTGAAAAGACAACAGACACTTTCAGATCAACCCAGCATGCAGATTTTCAGTAAATATTTATGAGCCGTTGTTCTTATCACTTCCTCACCCCTTCAGGACGGCCAGTCTCGGACAGTGCGTCAGTTCCAGTTCACTGATTGGCCAGAGCAAGGCGTGCCCAAATCGGGGGAGGGCTTCATTGATTTCATTGGCCAAGTGCACAAAACCAAGGAGCAGTTTGGTCAGGATGGACCAATCAGCGTTCACTGCAGGTATGCAGCAGGCTTCATCATGGTTACTACACTAGGCTTGTCAGAATGCAGCACATTGATGTCAGTGCTCTTCACTGTAAACTATAGTAGAATGTTTTCCTGTTTGCCTGTAGTGCTGGCGTGGGACGGACAGGTGTCTTCATCACTCTGAGTATTGTCCTGGAGAGGATGCGTTACGAAGGGGCAGTGGACATCTTCCAGACTGTCAAAATGCTGCGGACACAGAGACCAGCCATGGTGCAGACTGAGGTAAACACTGATTCATTAAACATGGCAGAGGTACAAGATTCATTAAGCATGGCAGAGAAACGAGCAGGGAGAGCACTGGTACTGCACACTATTAGGAATGGTTAAAGCAATATTGATATCAGTCCAATATTACATCCAATATTATTTTTACTGTTATTTCTGTCTGTTATTCATCATTTTAAGCCAATTGTTTTTAACTCTTTGATTTCCTTAAAGTAGGCCTATACTTTTATATTTTTGATCATCCTAAAACAGTTTTTCCAGTTGTGTGCACTTACATTTGAAAATACTAAAAATACTACATATACTCATTTTATTTTGCATTCCTGGATATAATTATTACTTATGTCCAGGAATGGATAATACATAAAACATTTTTTGTATTCTTTATTGAGTTCATCAAAACAGGTTTGTTTTCACTGTGTGACAATGCCATGCTTCAGATAATCCAATGGGCTTTTAAGTTGTTTGTTTATCTGGGTTTATTGTATTTACATTATGTTTATGTATTTACTTGTATTTCATTATTTGTGTTAATAGAATTTTATAAACTCACAATTCAGTTCCCTTTCAACATTATCCACGTTTGAAAGTAAACGCTTTTCATTGGGCAGACATTGCAAATTTAAAAACCAGAAAACACATGTTTACAATTACATACTTTTTAGATATGACAATGTTCCCAACATGCAGTAAAGTCGGATTTTAATTGTCATGATATCAGCTACTAAATGAGATTGGATTAGTGTTGTGAGCAGCCAGCTGAAAATAGTACCTGTGTATTTATAACAGTTACACATTTTTTTTGTCTGTGTCTCCCCCAGGACGAATACCAGTTCTGTTACCAGGCTGCTCTGGAGTACCTGGGTAGCTTTGACCACTATGCAACGTAAGTGAAGAGACAACTTATCCATCCATCTTTCTGCTTCGAGGTCCACAAACAAACCAACAAGAGAAACAAGAGAACGACAGTCTGAAATTACATGAACATTGAACCTTTTCCGGGAGAGAGATTCTACACCAACAAGGACAAAAAGCAAAAACAAAAACAGCAACAAGAAATCTGTGTCTAACAGCACCCACACTCATCAGACCCTCCCCCGAGGAGCTGGTGGGTGTGGAGACTATCCATGTGTAATCCATATACTTACCTCAGTGTTCCAGTGTGAAGGACGTATAATACATGTGTGTTGTGGTCAGCTATCTCCAATATGAACCAGTGAAATACAAATGGCTTCTGAACAGGAATTATGATACTATATGTGTATAAAATATAAAAAGATTTAAAAAAAAACAAAACAAAAAAAAAACATTTAAAAACACAAAGAGCCTGGATATTTGCTGCACCCTAAATGGGCTTTTTATCCTCAACTTTGTATCTATTGGTTTGGTGTACTAAGGGGTTACAAAGTGCAAAGGTGAACATTTCTATGTGTCTGTCCACTGCTACCACAGGTAGTCCTGGCTATAGTTTAAAGCAGATGACTAGGTTATGCCTCAGCAGAAGCCTACAGTGCGGACTCACCACCCTGAGGACTGTTGGAGAAGCATGTGGATGCTCATTTACCCAACGCACAGTGCCAAGAGAAACCATGCAGCGTGAACATGAACTGTGGCCTACAGGGAGAGATGGCTCCGTCTTTCATCCAGCATTAACATGAAGTCAGACTAGAGACCGCTCTTAAACGCTGGCCAAGGATCAGTTCACACTCACCCAGTTGTGTCCTCACTGCATAACAGCTGGCCTCAGAACAGTGATTAGAGTCCATCATAGCCTCAACTGGGCTTAGATTTGTAGCCCAGTGCATTCTTCATTCAACAAAGCTTGCTTGCTATTTGCTGTAGTCCTTGTTCATCCTCTAGCTCAGATTCTCTTGATGTCAGTCCCATTGTGTCAGTTCAACAGTGGCTTATTGAAGGAGATGCTAATGAAAGAATTGAGCTCCAGTCCCTTTCTTTCTTGAATTCTCGGCCCATTTTTGCAGATTTTTCTGTGTTTTTACTGTATGTCTTTGCCTTATGCCGACTTATTTCTTGTGTTTTAACATGCTGCCTAATACTCATGCATTGTGTGCTAAACTTTTATTGTCAAACAGTATCTTAACTTGAGGATGAAAGTTGTTTCCTGATCATCTTCCGCTGAAGCTTACCTACTTGAATTGCGCCACTTTGCGGTTAAATCACTGATATTTTGCTATTTCAAGCAATGAAAGATAACGAGAGAAATCCAAAAAACATTCAGCGCAAGTGGTGAATTGTTCACATTCAACAATCCTTTCCCCTTCCCCACTTCCATATAAACTCCATTAAAACTCTCTGTCCCTAAATCACACTGTACAGAACATCCCAACTTAACTAATTGATGTTTTCCCCTCTGTCTAACTCCAGTACAGCTGCACAAGTCCTTGATATCGATATATATCTTTTCTTGATTTGACATATAATCATAATTGGTCCCACGTGGTGATTGAAGAGCACAGCAATGTTCCAGTGTATCAGACATCTCGGACGATTTCACAATTTTGTACATACAGTCTTATCACTGGAGTCCTATACAGTACAGTTACATACGTCTGAGCACAAGATATAACATGGGATTGGATGTGATGTAGTTTTATTGTCGCAAAAAAAAGCCTTATTGTTATCGTTCACTTTGTCATATTTATTTCATATGATTTTTTAAAATATTTATTATTCTATTTTGTTACTTTTTACGTTTGTTTTTATTTACTTATTTGGGATATCTAGCAACTATAACCTATAAAATGTTGTTTACTTGTTTCTTTGGCGAGCCAATGTTAAAGTATGATATTGTCACTGTTTGTTTTTTATTTTTAATGGTCAGTTTTGGTGCTTTTTTATTTGCTTTATTATTATAAAGTATGCCCTCTGTGTAGGGTGCTATTTGATACTGATTACTGATGTCCGATTAGTTAGCTAGAGATGTACATTAGAGGCAGACATAGTTTAAGTTTACAGTGATGCCCTTTTAATGCCCTCCCCTGCTCGACCTCCATAGCAACAACAGCGGTGTGATCATAGTATGATCCACCCCACCGTGATAGGTTTAAGGGCATCAGAGAAATTAGATTTATAGAGCAGACTTATTGGTGAAAACCTCTGACAAGCTGTTGGTATTTAGTTTGCTCGAGAGCACATGGTAGCAAGTGTATTTTTGACAGAGAATGGGTAAGAGTCGCCCGGCTACACACACCTTCAAAGTTATTGTTTAAATCTGAAATTATTCTGATATGAACTTTATGTGTGGTACAGAAGTCTTGATGATGTGTGACATATATGAAATATGTTATTCCTTCAATTTCTAATGATTATTGTGTCAAGAGAAATGTAAAAGGCACACACATGAAGCATAATATGAAATGTGTTGAGGGCCAGCTCTGATGATGCCATCCCCCTCACTTATGTACCTGTTCTTTCCTTTCAAATCATGGATGTAGATATTGTATCTTGACTTTGTATTAAAAGCAGGATGATTGGATATACAGCACAATGAACTGCTTGGTTCCTGTCGGTTTTTTTTGTCCTTTTTTGTTATTCACTCCACGTCCACTAGATGGGACCAAAGGAACCTTAAAGGAAAATGCACTCCTGTCACTGCACCCACTTTTTACTCGATGCCCTGCACAGAAAATTACACCTGGAAAATGTTTGGCAATTTCTTTCAGATTTTGTCGTCTTTTCTGAAACCACTTGAAATGTTATGGAGCCGGAAAATTGTATGGCATTAAGTTCTGCTGTAACTTCTGTTGTTACATTACAGTAATATAAAATATAACATTATAATATAACACCATATCTGTCAAACTTGGGTATAATTACATTGAATAGACGTTCATATTCATCTGATTTTCATGCATTTCACATTAAGTGCCAAGACTGATATATTGAATTTGGAAAAACACAAATTAATTATGACATGGATGTTGACATGAACGCCATAAGTTGGGTCATAATTATAATAATTCCAACATGACTCGAACATGGCATTTAAAACAATTTACAATTGCACAATGAGGACATAATTTCGGAAAAAAATAATGATAAAGAAATAATTTGACAATTGACAGATGAGAAGATCGATACTCTCATATCTGTATGTTAACAGCTAACAGCTGACGAGTTTGGTGTAACCCAGCTGGAAATAATGGCTTAAAGAAAAACAAACTAATTTAAAAACTACTATAGTTATATATATTTGAATTATTGATTTGTTTTAAGTTAATGTTTTATTTTCTGTTATTTGATATTATAGTTGTGACAATTTAGTTAAAATCAGTAATCCTTATCAGCTCCACCCTTACCTGCCTTGATTGATTGATTAAGTCTAAGAGAGAGAGAGTGCTCTTGCGTGGGGGAAAGGGGGAGGGGCTTTGACACAGAGATGAGAGAGAAGAGTCCACCGGGCGCCCTGCTGAGCTAGAGGTAATTGCTCCGCATCACTGCGTTGAGCCTTATAAAAATGTTTGGGGAGAGTGAAAACAAAGACATAACACTTGTGAAGTTCTGTATGTGTTGAGTGAAGTGGAGCAGTTTCGCAGCACGAGCCACGAATAGCGAGGAGTGCCGTTTTGTCCTGGTTCGGTACCCTCCTCGTGTCTCGGTAAGCTAGCCTAGCTTTCAGGCTACTTGGCTAAGCGCTGTGTGCTAACAGTGAAATCGTCCTCAAGACGAATTCAATTTAGTATTGTGTTATGTAGGTGAATGTCAAATATCTGAAGGGGGACATATTTGATATTTGATATCAAGTTCTGTGTAAAATTCATCATTTTACTTCAAAGAAAAACGGGAATTTATTTTTAATTTATTTAGGTTAATAATTTTCTCACGTGTAAGAGGTATTTATGGTATATTGTCAACCAGTATTTTTCATAAAAAGTAGTATGCTGCAGATTTTGTTATATGTTTACAATCAAGTTTGTTTACTTAAATATGGGTTAAGTTGAAACAGTTAAATTCATATTTTCATGTTCAATAATTTTATCTTGTTGATATATGTCAAGCACACATTCTGATAGGCAAAAATAATTCTAATATTTGAGATTTAAACTAGAAATTGAACTAGAAAATTACACTCTGTTATTTTGATGATATTTTCTATTAAAATGTGGTATTTTGTATTGTGAAGCACACTAAAGGTGCAGTTAATCAAACTCAGCTGTTGTGTGTGTTTATGGTAATTACACTCTACACTTAGCTCCCACGAATCTAGATCATTGTGCACCCAAGAGTGGGATACATTAGCTTAGCACAGTTTGTCCAAAGGTAACAATATCTGCCATAATGTGCCCTCTTGAAACCACAACGTGTCATTTTTGCTCTTTGTTGTTTGTACAGATATAAATGTATCAGATTTTACATGTTAATTAGTGAGTTTGAGAGGTGCTGGTAGGCAGTTTTTTTTTCTTTGAAAAGCTAGCTAGTTCCCTCTGTTTCCAGTCTTTGCTGCCAGGCTAAGCTAACAAACTGCTGGCAGTAGTGTCATATTTAGTGAATAGACATAAGCGGGGTATCAATCCCATCTAAGTCTAACTCAAGAAATCAAATTAACTTTTTGGGTTAGGATTAAACTGTGGTCAAACTATTGCCTTATGGTCCACATATTAATGTTTTCTTCACAAGCTTAGCCAATGACCAAGGTCTTTTTTGCTCAGCTTGCTTTTATTTTGTCAAATTGGCACAGAAATTATACAGGGACAAGGAAAGGATAGACTGCTTCCTTTTATTCAATAAATTATGAAATGTACATTTCAAACATCTTAGATTTTCAATTTCTCTGTCCTTTAATGGTCACCCAGCAACATTCTTGATTTCGAGATGTTTAGGAATGTTGATAGTGCATGTTTTTGATACAGCAGGAGACACACCCGTGCATGAGAAGATACAGTCAGCTGTAATTCACTAATTGTGAATCTCACACTGGACATATCTAATCTCAGAGTAGTTCCTCATGTTTTTGACTTTTCAGTGCGTGTGTAAAGTTCACATACTAAATCATCCTCATTTTTTCTGACTTTGATCTGTCTGTTGATATGAAGAGCTGCTGCACCAAAACAAAAAGTACTAGGTGATCTTTATCGCTGTGGTCTAATCCTTTAGCCTAAAACTTCCTCGAAATATCCCAGGAAATGAATTGCACATTTGTATATAATGTTTTGAAGCAAAAACATGGAAAATACTTGTAAGAAAAAAGACTGTGTGTGTGTGTGTGTACTGTTCGGTCAATCACAAAACAATTCATGATTGGCTTTTTCAATTACTTGCTTCTTGAGAAGCTTTAGCTTTTGTGCAGGTAGTGCCTCATTCCCTGAGCTTTACATGTTGAGGTTTGAGCCCTCAGCACAAACACACATATACAGTCTCACACACACACACACACACACACACACACACACAACAAGTTGCATCATGTGTCACGATCGGAGCCAGCCCAAGCTTTTATGGGGACCTAAGTTGAACTTCATAATAGCATAGTAAGGCATAAAAACGTCATGAAGATGCCATTGCATTGTATGACATTAAAATGTCGAAAAAAAAACAGTATAGAAAGGCAAAAAATGGCAAAAAAACGTCATCGCAAAGTATGACATTAAAATGTCAAAACGTCATAGAATCCTAAGGTATAAAAATGTCATACTATACTAAAGTAAAAAAATGGCAAAAAACATCAAAGTGTAGTAAGGCATATAAATGTGAAAAAACATGACGTTATAATAAGGTATATAAAAACATCATATTATAATAAGGTATAAAAATGTCATAGTATAGTGTATTAATATTTCAAGAAAACATCATAGTATAGTAAGGTAAAAAAAATGTCAAAAACAGTATTGTAAGACATAACGTCAAAAAAGTCATTGTATAATAATATATGTAAATACTTAAAAACGTCATAGTATAGTAAGGCATAAAACATAGCATAGTAAGGTATAAAAAATATTAGTATAATAAAACATAAAAAGTCATTGCATAGTAAGAGATAAAAACATCATAGTATAGTAGGCATTAGAGTCGCCTGGATTTGCTAAATTATTTTACTGCCTTATTCTATTTGTGTCTTTGTTTGGTAGGATGCATGATGACAGTACTGTAAATGCACATGAGCCATATGACAGGTAACCGATAAACAAACCTAAAACTTACATTGTTTTCATTTTCATTTCAAGGGATTTCATGCCCAAAACGTATATTTTTTATGCGTTTAAAAAATGGAAATGCTAAATTTTGAATCAATACATATAATGTAGATTCATGGAGTTTTTTGTATAGTTAGGAACAATTATGAAACTGTGTAAACCAGTTCTTTACATAATTGTTGTGCGGACTCATTTTTTTAATCTGTGCTGTAGGCCATCAGCCATTCACTGATGTCTATCAGTGCAGGCTGAGCAGGTTGCAGGGCAGCAGACATAGAGTGACTGTCATTTCTCAAGCACATGACATGTTTCCCAATACCTGAGTCACATTGTGTGTAGAGGTGTGTGTGTCTGCGTGTGTGAAAAGGTCAGGGTAGGTCATGCAACACATGGCAACTGTTGCCATGATGAGAAGAAGCTGTGCAGTGGTGTGGCTTTTACAACTGCTGTCACTGATTGGTTTAGTTCCAGTGTAACCTCCCACCTCTCGAAGCTGATTGGCTGACTTCACAATAAGAAGCCAATCCTGAAAGTGGGCTGTAATTGCCTTTGTTTCTTATCTACCACTTGCTACTTTAGAGCAACTTCCAGTAAAGGAAACTAAAACTTGAGAGAACTAGAGAGCTATAGGCTTGTGCTGCATGCATCTAAGTGTGTGCGTGTGAATGACTTGGAAGATTTAATTTTCCATCATGAGTCTCAAATCTAGCAGGAGATTCTCACTGGACAGCTCAGTGTGAGTATGAATATTTTAGTGTTTCTGGCACATTTATTTCTTAACAATTTTGTTGAAATTAGACATTAGACACTGTACTCGTCTGTTATTTTTGACCAACAGTCCAGATAAGCACCGCTCTAAGCAGCAGGTGTGCAGCATCTTCTTGTTTGTGGCCAGTGTTTATGGCTGCTGGTTTACAAAAGTGAAACCATTCTCCAGAGACCCTTGTTGTTGCCCAGAGACAGCAAACTAACCACAGGTCTAATGGTCTGATGGTGAGCTCAAGCACAGGGGGAGAACACAGCTGGTGTTCAAAGAGGTTCTTCAAGGACTCGAGCTGCTCTAACTTTTACTTTCACATAAAGAAACTATTCAGACCAACAGAGATGTTAGATTGGATTCACAAACAACAACAGAATAGTCACTTCTTTTACCCATTTTACTCTTCAGTTAACAACTCTGATTTTACACATGAGAGTCTTTTTGTTGATTCTTTATGTAAGAAACTCTGTGTCTGTGAATGATCAACATGATGAATGGTCTTTGGAAAATCAATGAAACAATGAAACCAAAGATAATGAAATGTTTACCGAAAGCATGTGGCAGTTGTTTTAATCCACTGAGTGAATTCTGAAATCCAACA